TGATATTAAACAGTACAAGTGTGAAATGAAATTTTTTGATGTGCAATTTCAGACCTCGAACTTGTGATGGTAGATCAGTTAACAGGTTTAGTCGTACAACAAAGGTAATCTGCGACCAGGCGTTTCTTCTCGAGAAGAGATAACACCTTGTTGCAGGTTACAAGGGCAACATGGGACAATCCACTCACCACAGGCTAGATCGTTTACAAATCGTAAGCGTAGGAAGTCTTCGAGACCAATCTACGACGCAGTTTCATCGTTGGAGGAACACGAAGAAGCCGACAAACTAACTTAAGTTAATTAGCCTGCGAGGTAATTACGAGAATGCTATCGAATTAGGCCGAATATTTCGGGGACATACATGTGGAGGCCCACCATACCTTAGTGTGCGTGTCCCTGAATTGCATTTATGTGAAAACCTCGCTGGTTATAGATAGTATTTCCCGATCAGTATAAGTAGCAGGAGAGGATACTTTGGCTTGACATTGTTGACACTAAGACGATCTGATTTGTCTTCCTGTTGATTTTGCCTGGCTTGAGGGTTTTCTTCTTAGGAAGTCCTGCATTGCACTATGCAGGCGCAGATCGTCTACAAATGGTAGGCGTACGTAGTCCTCACGTCGACCGTTCGTGGCCATACTCACAGACGCCGTCCTCATTGTTCTGCCTCCAACAGCTCTTGAAGCACGTCATAACCGGGACCAAATCCTTTGCAGCGCGTGTTTCTTCAACCTTTTTTCTCAACCTTGTAACAAAATGTTGGAAATATGAATAAAATTTATTTTATTATATTGTTTCATATTGTATTGTGGGTCCAGTGTAGCATCAAGAAGAAGAGGCCGGCCGAAGAAAGAAGAACAAAGAACTTCGAGAGTCTTAGAAAGATAGTCCACTAGTCCAATTAATTAAGTAGTTCAGGTACCTTCCTTTGCAGCCATGAACGGAGAACAAGAATCACGTCGGACCAAACCGGACAATAACGATGATGACCATGCCCATGGGTGATGTTGATCGTTTACACTAAGACGTCATTCTGCTTTTATGGAAATAGAAGCCGATGACATCGTAATGCAAACGACTTCATCATTAGGAAGGCCAGGTTATGCCAGAGGAGTCAGCATAGAGTAATAACTTTTAAGAGCTGTCTTGACTAACGTTGAGATCTCCATAATTAAGACGCTACATTTCCCCTCTCCTTCCATGTGGGAACGAATTTGAAAAAATTGAAACGAGTCAAACAAGTTTTTCTTGAAATTAGGAAATGTCAAAGGCAATTCCAAAACCTGCTACGAGCAGAAGTTAAATTTCATCGTATCTCGGATCCTATGTTCGACAGTTGTTGGTCTTGTCGCATAGTACAATGTTAGTTGAGACAGCAAATATATTTAATAATTTTAATTTTAATTGGCCGGTCGGACTTCATCTTTGGAGCAACTCCAAGTGATCATCATCAACAACCCCAACAACAACAACAACTTCATGGACTATACCTATCTACGTCTTGGTCTATTGGATTGTTGGTCTCAGTGTCCTTAGTCCTTTGTTGGAGGAACATGACGACAGAGTACAGCAGCCCATATAAGGTAGGGCTGATTGATGTTGATACAAAGTTTGCACAAAGCAGACTCGCTTGGTCTGCAATAGCGTACGGCAAATTGAATTTCCGGGGCACCGTTGAAGGAAGGTTCGTAGTTCGTACCTAATGTAAACTTTGCACCACACCAATCAGCCCAAGTAATAACTCAGTGTGGCACGAGGTATGTGGAGTTTTTTTTCTTTGTTAGGCGATTAGATTTTCGGTTCGGTCCATTCGGCTTTTTTCCTTTCTTCGATTCGACTTGCGATCTGATTTCGGATTCGACTTCGAAAAATCTGAAGGCTTGGTATCGACGATGTTTCGATAGCAAGCCGCCAAATATCCTTGCGTACCGTCCGGGGGACCCTGGTGTGTTTCATTCGAGGTGTCAAGGTTTATGGACACATGTCACACTCCTCGGTCTATCAATCCCGGTCGCCAAATTCTTGTAGGAGCGCACCCCACATACTACTTAATTTCTGTAAACGGCTAACTCAATTCAATAAAAACACATTATCTAATGCGTTGTCTGTGTGATTTTCTTAAATATTAAATTATAGAGTAATTAGTTAAAAGCACTAATGATGATTTGATTTGCAGGTATCTTACAAAATACTTGTTGTAATAAGATCAATGAAAATAAAACATAACAAAAAACAAGGTTGTGATTGTGGTGTCTAATTTACAAAGTTCCGCGCGCTTACTAACATTGTGTCACATCAGTGTGTTCTACTGCAAACACACAAAAACTAACCTTTTTATTTCAGGTATTAGTACATCGAAAATCATTATTTTTCAGTTTTTTGGCTTCTACCTCCATTTTTTTCTTGAGTGGATGGAAACACATCTCTTTTGGGCGCGCCCTTTCAAGATCGCACAAGCTTTTTTCCCTGCCCTTGGACTACCTTTTTGGATGCGTTCTTGAAGAAACGCATGGCACCCCCCAACGTGGAAGTCGAAAGGAAGTGGTAAATGCAGGATAGAAATTTGTAATTGAGTTGTAAGTATTTTAAAGCTGATGAAAAATAAAGTTTAAAAACAAAAGAGAAATTCATCAGCTTACATCAATAATAAATAATTTAAATAAGTTAGATTTTTGTTGTAACGTGGTTTCTTTACTGCAATAAACAATAAATGTTTGACCTACACAATTTCGCTTCATCAGTGTATTTTTTTCTCTTAAAGCGATAATAAGTAATTTAACAAGTTTTATTGCAGGAAATTCGGCCATCATCTTTTCAAACGTTTTTTTTCGCTGGAACATCGCCGCCTGGAAGACGTCGTATTGGGCGCGCCCTCTCAAGACCGAGCACGCCAAACTGATCGTTTGACATGTGCTCTCAAGAAGTTCGTTTTGGAAGTACTTCTGGCTGCGTTCATGAAGAAACGCATGGCGACACTAGTCACGACTGAAAAAACGGCTCCAAGTTCTAAAGGTAACACACATATATTTTTCTTTTTTCAGTTGTTTTAACTGTTAGATGATCTTTTTGTGTTTCAGATTAAGTGCGTCGGTGAAGTGAGCTTTTTCCCAGCGCCTAAGAGGTAAGGAAAATGAAACGGACCATGAGAACGCTAAATCTGATTCTGCTGATAGACGCACTGAACTTCAGATGATGTTAAAACTCCTTCATTCAGGCTTTAGTGGGATTCAAACCCACGATATTTGTTTAGTAACTGGTAGTCATAATCTACCAAAGAGTGCAATTTTCAAGACGTTCAAAGAAAGGATCTGTTTGATGATAGCTGACAGATATTGATTGGATGTCAGCAGTCAATTCCAAGGCCTTTCAAAGGAAATGAAGGCTGCAATCGGTTTCCCAACTGCACCACAAAGCGAGTGAATTGTTATTACTTACTCTGTTTTTCAAGAAGTATTTCATTTAGGTCAGAGACGTCTAGCCGTGTTATGGCAGCCCTGAACTTCCATCACCAGCGATCTGCAATAGGTAAGAACCAGTACATAGGAAAGTCTTCGTTTTCAAGAAGATAAACATGATTTTCCAAGGAGTGCGCAGTTTCGTTCAAGGAAAGAGTTTGAAAGTCATTTGTGCTCCTGCTGAACCGAGAATTGTAAATATATAATTTAAGTGGCTTCTGTTCCAGTGGGATTCCAACCCGTGAACATTGCTTCGTTAGAAAGCAAATTAATATGAAATATAACTGGTATTCAAACACCAGGGCGTCTCAACCTCGTCCCCAGGGCGAGGGCTGAAAGAGGCTGTATAGTTTGAAGTTGATTTTCAACTGTCACAATACAACGTTATCTTTGATAATCTGTTTTAAAAGCTTTTCCATCTAGGTCTTTGCAATTCCAGTGCTTATCTCCAACACGCTGACGGCCGTTACATAACATTAACCGGCCCTGTGACGAAGAGGTATTAACACGTGACCCTTCCTACAAGATCCAAGGTATGTGTCCTAAAGGTTAAAAATCTTTGCCCAAAATATTCTAAAACGACCGAAAAATCCTCTGATCATTATTCTAAGCCATAACCTTGATTACAATGATAAACGTACAGGTCTCTGAAGATGACTGTCGTGTTTTAAAGAAACACAAATTCACAGGGCCCTTTCTAAAAGTTGCACATAAGGGGGCCTTTTTGAGATAGAAATCTGTAGCATTTTTTATAACTGTTTATGATGGCAAGCATAATTCATCCAAATGCAGTTATCTTATAGTTGAAATTTCCTCTTCGGTCTACAAATGTATTGCATATTAGAACGCATCCTTTCCCTCAATGGACTCCTAATCCAGGAAGGTTGCCGGATTTACGAGTTGTTAGTGGGATTCAAACCCACGACTACTAAGAGGACCGCATAACATAATAGATTTCAGTTGTCCAAAGCTAAATTTCTTGTTCTTGAGGTGTATTGTATTTAGATCCTAAACGACTACAGGATGTCGCATCCTGTCTGGCCTGCAGATCATGAAGTCCTAGCCAGCAGCGACTAGTGAACGATATGAGGGAAACTGCTTAACTCAACCTGCTTAACTCGGAAGAGGTAAGTATAAAAATAGGAAGATATCTAATACTCAACTTTCATTAAATAATTAGCGAGTACGTGGCTGAAAAGTAATTAGGCTGGGATGGAAACTGTGCGCGTAAAATTCCAACCTTTTTGTATCGAATCAAATGAACTAAGTAAAACTAAAACTGCAGAAATCGGAGAGATACTTATTACAAATGGAAAAGAGTCGCAATGGTCGTCACCGGAGATAGAAGTTTAATCTTGGTTTGATAAAAGTTTTGCAAACCTCGGGGTTTAAGCTTTTTATTTTTCAAAGATACAACTGAATTTGAAAAATTAGCGATTTCTGTACAACCTTTTTTTTTCCTCGTTTCTCCTTAGATATATACTCTGGTGCTTAATTAAATCATTTATTAATAATAACTCAGCATTTTTTCGTCTCAATTTTCAGTTCTCCGTGCAGACCTCCAAATTAGACCATCATACGAGACCATCAATTCAGCCCCAGATCAGAACACCAAATCGAAATACAACATCATGCAATCGTCAGTCCGACCACCAAATCAGACCATTAGAGCAGACCACCAGATCAGATCACTCCACCAGACCACAGACCACCATCCTCCTAACAGAACAACATACTCAGCCTCTTGAAATGGTACAGGTCAGGTGCATTCTTTAGGGGTGGGGTCAAGGGGGGTATATAGAGCTCTGGATGAACCTTGCAAAGCATACTTTCCACACACTTTCGGCCTGAAGTTTCCGGACTTTTTTTCGGCTTAATCTAACTTTATTTAGTTTAGCTAGTGGGGTTCCCTGGGCTGGTAAGGGCCTCCCCTTCCCTTTTTCATTAGATGGGTTCCTTTGCAGGTGTTCGGTCAGCAATAAGTTCGGCTTTTAGGAATAGGTTCGGTTTTTTGGATTCGGCTTCGATTCAAGGAAATGGTTGGGCTGTATCTTTTTGCGCCTTTTCAGATGGACGTCACCACCGCTGCTTTTCTCGTCGTCGTCGTCGTGTTCACTACGATCTCCCGCTTAGCTGCGCCAATTTTGAATTGATCTATCACACTTCACTTGACAGTCTATGCGCTGTGCAAGTGAAGCTTTCATTCGCAAGGTTCAACCAGATGATGATTATTCTAAGACCTAACTTAGTAAACTAGAGGCTTCAGATTATTAAGCTACGGTGAGAGTACCTCATTTGGTCACTGCTTACAAGCTTAGTAGTCTCTCTGGTTACAGGTAAATAGTTAGAATAGCCTCGCAAATTTGGGTCTGCTCCTACCAATTTGGCTTTAATTTTGATATTAAAAAGTACAAGTGTGAAATGAAATTTTTTGATGCGCAATTTCAGACCTCGAACTTGTGATGGTAGATCAGTTAACAGGTTTAGTCGTACAACCAAAGGTAATCTGCGACCAGGCGTTTCTTCTCGAGAAGAGATAACACCTTGTTGCAGGTTACAAGGGCAACATGGGACAATCCACTCACCACAGGCTAGATCGTTTACAAATCGTAAGCGTAGGAAGTCTTCGAGACCAATCTACGACGCAGTTTCATCGCTGGAGGAACAAAAAGATGCCGACAAGCTAACTTAAGTTTATTAGCCTGCGAGGTAATTACGAAAATGCTATCGAATTAGGCCGAGAATTTCGGGGACACGCATGTGTAGGCCCACCATACCTTAATATGCGTGTCCCTGAATTGCATTCAGGTGAAAACCTCGCTGGTTATAGATAGCATTTCCCGATCAGTATAAGTAGCAGGAGAGGATACTTTGGCTTGGCATTGTTGACACTAAGACGATCTGATTTGTCTTCCTGTTAATTTTGCCTGGCTTGAGGGTTTTCTTCTTAGGAAGTCCTGCATTGCACTATGCAGGCACAGATCGTCTACAAATGGTAGGCGTACGTAGTCTTCACGTCGACCGTTCGTGGCTATTGGTTTCTTCGTCCTCCAGACGCCGTCAGTATTTTTCTACCTCCGACAGCTCTTGAAGCACGCCATGACTGGGACCAAATCCTATGCAGCACATTGTTTCTTCAACTTTTTTTTTTCTGATTCTTGTAACAAAATGTCTGAAATGTGAATAAAATTTATTTTATTATATTGTTTCATATTGTGTTGTGGGTCACGTATAGCATCAAGAAGAGGCCGGCCGAAGAAAGAAGAACAAAGAACCTCGAGAGCCTAAGAAAGATAGTCCAATAGTCCAGTTAATTAAGTAGGTCAGGTACCTTCCTTTGCAGCCATGAATGGAGCAGAAGAATCACGTGGGACCAAACCGGACAATAACGATGCTGACGATGCCAATGGGTGATGTTGATCGTTTACACTAAAACGTCATTCTGCTTTTATGGAAATAGAAGCCGATGACATCTTAGTGTAAACGACTTCATCATTAGGAAGGCCAGGTTAAGCCAGAGGAGACAGCGTAGAGTAATATAATAACTTTTAAGAGCTGTCTTGACTAACGCTGGCATTTCCATAATTTAGACCCTATTCCGTGTAGGCACGAATTTGAAAAATTTTGAAACGAATCAAACAAGTTTTTTCTGGAAACTAGAAAATGTGAAAGGCAATTCTAAAAACTGCTGCGCGCAGAAGTTCATCGTATCTCGGATCCCATATTCAACAATTGTTGTTCTTGTCGCATAGTACAATGTTAGTTGAGACAGCAAATATATTTAATAATTTTAATTTCAAGTGGCCGGCCGGACTTCATCTTTGGAGCAACTCCAAGGGATCATCATCATCATCATCAACAACAGCAACAATAACAACAACAACGTCATGGTCTACCGTATTCCTATCTACGTCTTGGTCTATAGGATTGTTGGTCCCAGCATCCTTGGTCCTTTGTTGGAGGAACATGACGACAGAGTACAGCAGCCCATATAAGGTAGGGCTGATTGATGTTGGTACAAAGTTTGCACAAAGCAGACTCACTTGATCTGCAATAGCGTACGGCAAATTGAATTTCCGCGGCACCGTTATTCTTCTAGAAAAGTTCGCAGCTAATGCAAACCTTGTACCACACCAATCAGCCCAAGTAATAACTCAGTGTGGCACAAGGTATGTGGATTTTTTTTCTTTGTTAGGCGATTAGATTTTCGGTTCGGTCCATTCGGCATTTTTCCGGTCTTCGATTCGACTTGCGATCTGATTTCGGATTCGACTTCGAAAAATGTGAAGGCTTGGTATCGACGATGTTTCGATAGCAAGCTGCCAAATGTCCCTGCGTACCGTCCGGGGGACCCTGGTGTGTTTCATTCGAGGTGTCAAGATTTATGGACACATGTCACACTCCTCGGTCTATCAATTCCGGACGCCAAATTCTTGTAGGAGCGCATCCCCGCATACTACTTAATTTCTGTAAACGGCTTACTTAATTCAATAAAAATACCTAACCTAATGCGTTGTCTGTGTGATTTTTTCTTTTAGTTTAAGATTTAGTTTATAGCTAAGGTTTAGTTTTAGAGTAATTACTATAAGTACTAATGACGATTTGATTTGCAGGTATCTTAAAAAAATACTTGTTATAATGGCCTTGATAAAAATAAAACAAACAAAAAAACGCTGAGTTTTCAGTCTGATGTCTTTTAAAACCGCATTGACATTAACTGTCATATCAGTGTGTTCTACTGTAAACACACAAATAACCAGTTTCTTCATTTCAGGTACTATTACTTCGAAAGTCGAATATTTTTCCGTTTTTTGACTCGACCTCTACTTTTTTGGTTGACCGTTAATGGATCCTTTTTTGGGGGCGCGCCCTCCCAAGATTGTACATGGCTTATGTTTTTCCACCCTTGTACCTCTTCAGCTCTGGATGCGTTCTTGAAGAAACGCACGGCACTAACAACTTGGAAGTCGGAAGTGAAGTGTTGAATGCATAACAGAAACGTTTATATTAGGGTTACTGTAATTGAAAGCTGATGAAAAATAAAGTTTACCGAACAACAGAAAAAGTCATCAGCTTGTTTTTCTCCTTTCACTTAATCTAAATAAGTTTTATTTGTTGTAACAAAGTTGCTTTTCCAGCACATAATAAACAATAAAGCTTGATCAAGACAAATCTTCTTTAACAGTGTATTTTTTCTTTAAAGCTATAATAATTTAAGTAATTTAACAAGTTTTATTTCAGCTTTTTACACCTTTTTTTCGCTCGAGCACGTGATCGCCGCCACGAAGACGTCTTTTTGGGCGCGCCCTCTCAAGACCGAGCACGCCAAACTGATCGTTTGACGTATGCTCTCAAGAAGCTCGTTTTGGAAGTACTTCTGGCTGCGTTCCTCAAGAAACGCATGAAGACACTGATTACGACTGAAAAAATGACTTCAAGTTCTAAAGGTAACGCAGATATTTGTTTTTTCTTGTAGTTGTTTTAACTGTTAAATGTTTTTGTTTTAACTGTCGAATGATTTTTGTGTTTCAGGGGCGGATCTAGTGAGGGTTAACTGAGAAATGTTTTCTAATACAACTGGCTCGTAAGAAAAAAAAACTATGTGATTTATTAGTGTTGAGGTAGAGAAGAGACACTAAAAAAATCAAATCTGATTTTGCTGATACATGCACTTTTCCTCAGATAATACTAAAATTTATTCATACGGGCTTTAGTGGGATTCAAACCCGCGATCTTTGTTTAGTTACTGGTACTCCTAGTATACCAAAGAGTGCAGTTTCCAAGACGTTGGATTTAAAATGGTCCCGGCACTGTCTTGAGTTTGTTTTATGATAGCTGACAGATAGAAAATGATTGGGTGTTATGAGCATTCAATTTCAAGGCTTTTTAAAGAAAGTGGAGTTTGTAATTGGTTACCAACCGCTCGACAAGGACGGTGTTTTGATATTACTTACTCTAATTTTGAAGAAGCATTTCATTTAGGTCAGAGAAGTCTAACCGGGTTATGGCAGTTCCGAACTCTTATCAGCAACCTGTAACCTGTAAGTACCAGAATATTATAGGAAAGTCTTCACCTTCAAAAGGATAAACATTCTACACTAGATTGCGTAGTTGCGTCGAACGAAAGAGTTTTAACATCAATTGTGCTCTTGCTGCACCAAAAGTCGTACATTTATAGGTAAACTGGCCTCTGTTCCAGTGGGATTCCAACCCTTGAAAATTGCTTCATTAGTAAGCAAATCGATATGAAATAGTACTGATATTCAAACGCCAGGACGTCTCCACCTCGTCCTCTGGGCGAAGGAGTGTTAAGGAAGTTGCAGAGTTTGAAGTTTATGTTCAACTGTCATGGTGCAACGTTAGCCTTGATAATCTGTTTTTAGAAGCTTTTCTCTCAGGTCTGTGCAACTCCAGAAGTTGTTTCAACACACAGTCTAACCAGCCCAGTTCCTGATGACAGCGAGCAGATAATACAACACGGATGCGTCAGAAGGTTCTTTACTGCTGATACATGGTGATATGAACGAACCTGCCTGGCAGGCCAACGGTAAGTGCTGAAACGAAATTACGAATACATTAAAAAAATGTGAGCAGGAAGAAAACTGATAGCAGGAAAAGCGAATGTTTGTTCAAGTTTTGATAAAACGTACTGGCCTACGTAGTGGGTAGCTACACTGTTATTTTGTTAAAACTTTTACTGAATTTCCTTATATTCGTGTTTCCTTTTTGTAGGAAAATGTAGGAACTATCTGGTGAGGCAACGTCATGAGTAGAGGGCTGGACTTTCACCTGTTGCATTGATCTGCATGATGATTAATTATCTTGATGATGACGATGGCGATGAATAAGTGCTGTCACGCAGTGGCAAACGACGACGGTGATGATGATGATGAATCTGATCTTCGATTCTTCAGCAGGTGAAACGTGCATTGAAACTTAACTAGAAGAAATGTGTATCTCAGACTCTTATGAGGTATTGTATATATGCATTGTGTACGTAGAGTGACGTGCGCAGGTCAGAGAGACATATTTTCGCCCGCCATGGGGAATAGAGTTGTGTTCTGCCTAAATGCTTAGGTTTATTGCTTTGTGTTACGATACTTTGGCGACGAGGATGGCCGAGCTCGGGATAGGGTGGCCATGATAAGTATTGGAGGGTGGAGAGAAATAGAGTATAAATTTGTCCAGCTCAAGACCTATAATTACAATACAACAGCAAAGACAAAGTGAATTGAGTTTTCCCGGCAGTTCGGATGGTCTTGGCGTTCTTCTCCGAGGATTTTCAAAAGGTCAGTAGGGATAAAACTGAAATTAATGACTTGCAGATGAAGCACACGATGGTCTCATTTGAAGCACAAAAGAAAAAAATGGCGAAGAAGGAAATAAATCAAGAAAAATGGAGCAAAAATGAACTTAAAATAAGAAATAAATATAAAAGGAAAGAAAATAAATATAAAAATAGTAAAATGATAAGCTATCATAAATAATAAATTGAAAATAAAGTCAAATAAATAATACGAGAATAAGAAAATCAATAGTAATGATTACGATAATGATAATAATAAGAGAAAAGGAAATAATTGCATTAAAAGAGACATCATCGATTTTTGAAAACGAAACTGCAAGGATTTTAAGGCAGTCACGTTTCAAAAATCAACAGAAGTATCTTTTTAATTTTAAAGTCTTTTTAGATACACTTTTAATGCTTTTCCTTTTCTTTTACCGTCATTATAATCATTACTATTACTATTATTAACTATTACTATTATTAGTAATATTATTATTATTATTTTCATTTTTAATTTCCTTTTTGTTACATTCTTTAGATTTTTTTACCTTCTTTGTCGTTATTCTTTTGTGCGTAAGTCATTATTTTTAAGTTTTATCCCTATTAATAAGTTTGAAACTGTTATATCAAATTTTCAACCGAGTCGATTTCTAACTATATAGGGACGGCCTGACCATCTGAATTATGCGAAAACGCCAGTCCTTTTTGTCTTTGCTTGTTTCGGCTTGATTAGTTAATTACACCCTTTAATCTAATGCAGGAACAAGTAAGGGAAAAATTAACTTTGATGATAAGTTCAATAATAAGCTGAATGAAGAAACAGATGATCAGAGGGAAAACTTAACTTTGATAATAAGTTCAGTTAAACGTGTGGTCTTCCTTTCTTGAGAGATATAGGAGCAGCTAACGTTGACAAGTTGGGCACCCTTATGAGGCACCGTGATGTGAAGAGGCAAGACGTAGTTGACTGACACCTGTTGTATGGATGATAATGATGATGATGATGTTTTGACGATGATGCCGACAATGATGTTGACGATTATGCTGACGATGATGACGACGATAATGATGTTGACGGTGATGATGATGATGAGGATGATGCTGACGATGACGTTGACGATGACGACGATGATGATGATGCTGATGATAGAGATGATGATGCAGATGATGAAGATGACGTCGCTGACGATGATGATGATGACAATGATGCGGAAAATGATGACGATGATGACGTTCTTAAGAAAATTTGTTCCTTGACGAAAAAACTCCGAAACTCAGTAAATGGCCATGGCGACGTTAAAATTGGTGAGTATCACAACAGTTATCTTTGTTCTTCTTCAATACCTGACTGCTCGTCAGTCGTCTGTCTTCTCTCACTCAAATATCAACGAGGGAAACGAGTGGAACATCCCTTCCCTGGATGCTGTAATAGTCTGTCTTTCACGACTGTTCCATGATGTGCTAGAGAGACAAGAGAGGCGGCTGGGACGAGTCAGGTTCGAAAGGGCAAACGCAAAGACCTACAGCCTACGGCAGCTAGGAGGAGTGAGGAAAAGCTAATCTTTGATAATGTGTCCTGCGTTAAACTAGAGGTTTTGACTTAACTCAGTCCTCAGCATCCCCTGCTTTACTTTTTATTAAAGCTGTAGACTGCAAGAGAGGAACTAAAACGTTGTTCTAGACTAAGACGCCTCCATCAAATGGAGTTTGCCATTGATCGCACTTGCCTCTATGATAAAGTTAAGGCTATATGTTCTGAAATGCACGACAAAAATACTTTGCAGAGCAAACTAAACTTTGGAGATCCTTCTTTAAAAATCAAGTAATGAAGGGTATCTTCTGTTTTCGTCCAAACAGCTTACAGGAAAAGAGTGCTTTTGGGTGTGTTCATATATCATATCGGAGGATGGATGTTGATGTACGCTACCCTCGCTACTACCCTACGTCACTGCAGCACAAGAAGCCAATAACGAATGTTTATGCAAGACCCACGTTTAAACAGACTGCTTTTCGCCACGCTCGCGCTTGCTTTCAAACGTCATTGAAAAAATCGAGTTCCACGTCTATAAGGTTTCACTGCGACAATTGTTTCATCTTCTAAGCTTTTATACTATATACTTTATACTTTGTAAACTGGCTATATTTATGAAGTGAAATTAAGACGCTGCTTAGAGTGAAAGAGCTGATAAAAGACCAGTTTTGTGATAAATGACTTGGAATATATAGAAAAGTGAGAGCCATATTTATGTAAAGGAACAAAGCTATTTTACAAATAATAGAAGACCGTCGTTTTTGCGTGTAGGTCGGGTAATGTTAAATTTATCAATTCGGCTAAAATTAGAGCGTTACTTGGAACCTCTGAATTCTTCTTAATTAATGCTACAAACGCTGATTTTATAGCTTGACATGTAACATAAACTGCAATAACCTTATAATGCATGAAGATTTTCAGAGGCTCCGAGGAAAATGTTTTGCCTGATCTGAATTTGTCTGCAAAAAGAAAAACTTAATAGCGTCTATCTACTAAGTGATACACAGCGAATAAAAGCTTTCACCCTTTACATTGATCCAATAAATAATTAAATAACTATACTGCGAGCGAAAGCGCTTTGATATCATTTCTTTAACCCTTTCATTGCCAGAGTCAATGTTGGAGTCCCTTAAGGTAGTCTTAACTTATGAGTCTGTGGACGAAATCCTATGATGTGACCATTCAAATGAAAGCTCTCTGCCTGTACTTTCAAATGGTGCTATTTGTTTTCAAAATTTTACAAACAAAATTCGAGGATTTTTGTTGAATTTTGCCTTTGGCCACACTTGGCACTGAAAGGGTTAACACTTTAAAACGGCGACAGATTTTCAAATCGCGCTATTCTAGAGTCAGCCTCGCCTACTATTTACTCCGAGAAAAATTTTCTTCTGTTCGTTTTCTTTTAACGTTCAGCCTAGCTAAAATATTCATTTATTTACCTTAGATTAATTTTTTTCTTGCGTTTATATACAGTAGCATGCCTTAAATCCCCAAAGGCGTCACCATAGCACTGGTCGGGGCTACACGGTCCCTATTTTTCCAAATTAAATTGGTTTTCGGGGTTTACGTGTCCGGCTATGGTGTAATATTGTATTTTTGGTTCCATTTCAGTTTATGTATTTCTTAACAATAAAGTATGATGGAGCTTGTTGGAAAACTGCGTGCTTGTTTCTTTAGTTGCCGATTGGGGGGCGCAAAATATTTTGTGTCAACCGACTTGAACCTTAATAGAGCGTTTTTACTTACGTGGCCAGTAGCTAGAAAAATTTATTACAGCAAAAGAAAGCGTAAACAAGAGAAAAGAGGACTGTTTGGGATACCAAGATGGCCACCGTTTTCTGATTGGTTTGGGACTGACCAATATTTCGAAATTGACTTCAAGCGCTGAAGGGTCCTGAAGGCTGTATAGCCAGCTACAAGCTAGTAGACGTGAGGAACAATACCGTAACCTCACTACATGGTGGCTTAGAAAAATTCTCGACTGTGACCTTTACGTCTCGCTCTATCGGCTTAATAGCGATGTATGCAAGACAACTGCAAGTCTTCTTACGCTTGTTAACACCTATAACCCTTATCAAAATTACTGTGAAGAACCAAGATGTCCAAAAACGCCAAAGTTTCCCAGTTTCTTGGTATCACGTATCGTTTGTCTGGGTTATAGCACCCTCCACTTTATTGATTGAACTCGTACTGAGAGAAACCCATTAAGACACTTGTACGATCAACGTACTGTTTTACGTTGAACAACCCGTCCCTCTGCAAATAAAGGACCGGGTCTTCTTTGTTCTGCTAGGAGGGGACTGGGGAGAGGACACAAGAAAAGGCGCAGTTACCGATGGGATTTTTCTAAGCTTCTTAATTTTAATGAAGCTGATGTTTTATGGTATTTCTTTTTCCAAGAAGGTGCTTCATATCAGGAAACAACTACGATAAAGTACAAAATTGCATAAAATCATCAGTTAAGACATTGTTAATGTGGAATTACCTCAAATGAATAACACAAAAGTGATAGCACAACAAGTCACGTGCGAGGCTGACATGAAATTCCTAATTTAGAAGAAAAAAAGTTTATTAAGGTAGTTTACACCCGTGGCCAAGTTTCACACGGTTTCTTTAAAACAAAAAAGGTAGTGGCTCAATCCTTATGTTTACTAAGTGTTTGGGTTTTTGTAGATACTACACTGATAATTATTAAGGTGGACATCACCCTCGTACAAGTACACGTCGCGATTAGAAACACCAGGTACTTTTTCCACTTCATTCTCGTTCATGTTGATCTCGATTACCCAACCGATTTTGGCCCATAATCTTTTGCTGTTTACAACTCGACCTGCGTCATCGTAGTTGTTGAGGAGTATTTTCTTTGGGTCATTGCTTGGGTCAATAGAAGTAAAATAGACTCCTGAAAAAAAAGAAAACAAAAAAAAACAAAACTGGTCAAGCTGTGAAACAGACAAGGCGAAGGGTCACGTGTAGCAAAACTAGCAACCATTTCACCCGATAATTATTGACATTTTGAAAGCACAGTTTATACTGGTTGGAAATTCAGAATATCTGTAGGAGAAAATACTAGTTTCAGTTTTTAGCATTTAAAATCAGAGATTACAACCATGACCTAACGGTATATAAGTCAACAAACTAACGATTTACCAAGGCCATGTCGTCGATTCTGTTTGGGTGTTTCGTAGGTAGATCCCTTTATCACTTTGCTCTTTTCGATACCAGCAGCGCCAGTTGCATCGGTGTAATGATAAAGCGTTATCTGACCAGCAAAAAGTGGAAATTTCAAACAGTAAGTTTTTACTACGAGAGCTCAAATAAAATATCATCTATATTATGAAAAGTGATGGGTTCTAAGTTTTGTCTGGGGTTCAACCCTATAAATAAAACAAAAGTCCGTATTATCATCTATATTATGTTAAAAAGTAGGGACCGGTTCTAAGTTTTGTGAGTATACGTTCCGGTTCAATTCCCCTTATCAGGTATTGAAAAGAGGAAAACAAAAAGTCCGTCACGTCGCGGTACACATTTTCTTTAATTAGGGCGTATGGATAAGTTAAACAGTTTTTCGCAGGGACCTGATTTGATTTTTGCGATTGTTATTTGCTGACAAAGATTTTATACCCTCCGATTTGTCGGGATATGCCCACCTGTTTCTTATCATGGGTCTTGACGTGTCGGATGAACGACCTTTAAACAGACTATATTTATTCATGTCCGTTATTCGGATGACCATTTATTCAAAGTCTCCATTTTGTGGAATGGCTTTCATGAAATTGCTCACAATAATACATAAATCGGGATTCATCTCTCCCGCCTACAGGTTTTAAACTTGGCTAGTAAAATCGGTGTTATTAAATACGGGAACATCGTAAAATTCTCAATTAAACTCTGGCCTACGCTGCCAACAACCGCAACACTCGTCTCACTATGTATGAAAGTCAGTGTTGAAATCGAAACTAGTCTACGTGTGATTTTACAGATTTCATCATATTGTTTTAAAAGTCTTACCTTGTGTGACATTTTGGTTAGTTGAAAACGAAGCTCTTCTATAGCTTTCCTTCTCTGCGTTTGATCTTATAAGGCTCCCAATGCAACCGGCGGCGAAGAAGAAAAATGAAAGCGGAAGTAACAAACTGTGTGGGAGCAAATTAAAATCACGTGTCAGTTGCTTATCCAATCACTGAACACTTGCCACATCTCCTTGCGCCCTCTTCTGTTACTAGTTTCCAAACCCTATGTTTCCCGGAAAAGACCTTTATATAACCATTACTTGCATTTTAGAATTATTATTTTCCGGCGTTTTTCTTCAAATTCTCTCAGATTTTTATCGTCGAATATAAGATCATGAATGTGATTTATAAAAGTTGCTAGTGGATATTTTCATTTACCTTAAGGTACAGAAAAACGGGCACCGAAAAAAAAGTTCAACTTGTTTTGCAACATTGCTACAAAACGAGTTGAATAGCGATGTTGCGCGTTTTACCACTCACCTTCAAACCTGTTAACAACCTAATTTGTTGAGAGACAGGTTTGATGTGGGTGGTAAAAGGCGCATCATCGCTATTCAACTCGTTTTACAGCAATGTTGCAAAACAAGTGACATTTTCAGGTTTTAAAATGTCAAACTCCCCACTCTTGGGACATTTTTAAGGTTTTTTAAATGGGGTCAAACTTACCCCAAACCAAGTTAATTAAGGCATGAGTCTATTATGACTAAAATAGGCAAGTTCACAGCGACAAACCTTTAAATGGTGACGGAAATGGTACCCACAAACAGTACAATAAAACAACTTCTCAATATTTCGGTTTGAAAACAAACCTTCTTCAAGGGCTAAAAGAAAAACGAAGATAAAAATAAAAGTTCGTCACAAATAAGAGTTTGAAAATATGAAAATAAAAACAATAGATTGTTATTGGTGTAGGAGACTAGGTTACCGTAGTATCGCATATCAACGAGCTTTGTTACGTCTATTTATTCCTAGAGGAGACAATGTGTTTCCTTTGTGTATTAAATGAGACTCCCTAGCCTTTCTCGCTGCGTCACCGGTTGCTGCGTATGAGTTCAAGTGGGATTTGGAAGAAGGTTGGGCCCCCGGGGGGGGATACCCCCTTATATAAGCATGTATAGTTATGTGCCACCCCCAAAGGGTAGGGTTTTTGCGCCGTTTTGGTCTGAAAACAGATATAGATTGTGCCCATTTTAGTCTAGAATCGGGTATGGTTTTCGAGGAAACTACTGAAGTGTATGAACGTATTTGTCGTTTCAATTCCAAATGAATAAAAAAGAAAGAGAAATATGCGAATTTGAATTAGATTTTAAGATTTTTTTGTTGGCGTTCTAATCTAAGAAGACTTGTCACAAGTCAACCTCACGAGTTTGTAAGTGAGGTCTGAAAACTGGTATGGATTTTAGAGGCCAGGTCTGAGAACGGGTCTGAAAAATGGCATTTTTTGGTCTGAAGTAGGGTCAGGATTTGAAGGTCCGGGCGGCACACCCACTAAGATTTCCCAGGAGTATCCCCTTAAGGGTGAGGCTACAGGAAAACGGCGACGCTTCTCCCTTGTGAGCAAGGATATCTCTGAAATCTTTTGTGAATTTGTTGATCGATGTCTTCTTTGCTTTAGGTTTGGTGATATCAGCGGGCCCTTCAGCTGGGTCGGTCCTCTGACTGGAATCATTTGTTCACTGAGCGGTATCTTGGTGGTGGCGTTTTACCAGCACTGGTTTTTGAAAAGAATTTTGGATCAAATAAAATTTCTGGGAAACTGCCCACCTACCCCTCCCCTAACCCAACATTTTGCCCCTAGTGAGACGCAAATGTTAACGTTGAGTTAGGGGAGGGGTAGGTAGGCAGTTTCCCAGAAACCTAAATTGATCCCGAATTTCAACTGAAAGAAAGGGGAAGGCAGACCGGATCCAGAAGATAAAAACAGAAATGGCCACTCAAAGCAGAAGAAGAAGAACTTCAATCAGGAAAAGGTAAAACATGTTTTAAAAAACTCTTGAACTATGTGAAACAACAAATGCATATAAAAAATGCTCAAATTAGAGACGAGAGAAGTGGCTTTCTTTTGAGGTACTTTTATCTGATATGTCAATTAAGGCTCCTCCCTTTTAGTTGATTGTAAGGGGAATCTAATTAAGAGCAAGTAAACTGAATCGAACCCTGTATTCACAAGATCGCAACGTTCTGAGCAATCCCTTGCGTTTTCCTTCTACTGTGTCTTCCCAAGCCTTTTCGGTCAATGCATTTTGATGAAAAGATTTGCACAAAAATCTCGCTCGTACCACGTGACCTGAAAGGCATAGTTTCCGCGCAAAATGAAAAAAACTAGAAACTAGGCAAAGCAATCTCGCGCCCAGAGTCCCCTTTACCCGTTCCCCTGGACAAGGGTAACGCCGACTCTTGGAGCAAGATAGAATTTGATTGCGAACGCGACTCTTGATTCTCCGCCGGTAGTATAATACATACGTAATTTGATAGCAGACAAGCCATACGGTGAAATTGTTTTAAAATCGGCGTCAATCACTGAGCTATTCGCCAATTTTTAAACATCGTTCCTGTTTTCAAAAAGGATAACAAAGAACAAGCGGAAAACTACAGACCGATCTAGCTTTTTTTAATTGTTTCTTAAATCATGGAGAGGTGCATATTCAATGCTATTAGGGACCATGTTTTCAATCTTATCAGCGCATGTTAGCGTGGCTTCATTGCTGAACGGTCATGTGCAACCCAGCCAACCTCGTTCCCAGGAGAGAACCCTGGGAACGAGGTTGCAACTCAGCTTGTTGAAGTTCTAGACCAAATTGGCACAAACGTGGATAGAGGAGGACAAGTAGATATAATCTATCTGGACAGGTCAAAAGCTTAAAATTTTGACAAAGTAAATCACGCAAAGCTCCTAAGGAAGCTACATCAGTAGACTATCAGTATGGTTTTGGGGGAAACCCCTGCGAACATGGTTAGAATCGTACCTGCACAATCGATCCCAGCGAGTGACTACATTGGGAACAACATCAAGCCCCTTACCTGTGACTTCATGGGTCCCACACGGATCGATCCCTGGCCCCATGTTATTCCGTCTGTATGTGAACTCTTTGCCAGATGCTGTTAGATCAAGCCAGATTGCTGTTTTCGCCGATGACGCAAAGATTTTTAAAGAAATTACATCAACGCGCGGTGCAGAACAACTTCAAGAGGACTTGTTTGACTTACTCACGTGGTCAGATTCTGCTAGCCTAAACTTTAACTTCAGCAAATGCAAAGCGCAGCGTATCACCAGGAAACTTAAACCCGTCATCTTTGTCTATCATATGGATGGCTCTCAGCTTGAAGTTCTCTCTGCCGAGAAGGATCTTGTTGTTTACATCACGGATAACCTCACGTGGAACAAGCAAGTCAATGAACAATGCGCTATGGCCAGCATGCTCCTGGGATATACACGGAGAGACACCAGACTCGTCAAAAGCATTACTGTTAGACGATCGGCACACCTCATCCTAGTAAGATCAAATCTTGGCTATGTCACGATTCTGGACTCCGCAGTCAATAAATCTGATTCAAAAGCCCGAGCGTGTCCAGAGGCGCGCTACAAAGTATATCCTGGATCTACGTACCATTCATTTGCGACCAGACAAAAAGGAACAGGCGGCTTATCACCCATCTCCTATTGGCACGGATTTTTAGACATGATTTTCTTTTTCAAAGTTGTAACCGGCACAGTTAGAGTTAGTCCTTCTGTTGTTCTTCCGCAAGTCTTAGTTACTCGCACTACCAGATCTAACAGCAATCGTAATTTTTCTCACTTTATTTCAAGGAAATGTAATACTGTCACCTTTCAGAGATCTTTTTTAATAGAACCACCAGAATCTGGAACACCTTAGCAAATGAACTTCAACTGTCATACAACCTTCAGATCAGTCAATTCAAATCCATTATGTATCAGTACTATGTAGATGCCTTAGAACTTCTACGACCCAAAGAACCCACGATCCTGGAAAAACGTCTGTCCGTCATGTAACGTTCTACGTAACGTGTCTGTCCGTGTTCGTTGTTGTTTTTAATAGTCATATGCAGCTTCAGTGCTTTTTACATACTTTTTTAAGCTCTGGGACCACTGTAATTCGCTTACCGCTGTTGTGGCATCCTTACCTAATTAAGCATTTATTATTCTTTGTTTCAGTATATGCAGTATTTATCATTCTTTTTAATTAATTTATTTTTTTATTGTGTAATAGGCGAAGCTAATAAAATAAATTAAGATAAATAAATAAATTATAAACGCGGAGGGAACTGGTATCTTTCGTAAAGACCTTGGGACTGTTACTAGAGATAGGGAGAAAATGAAATTCCCGCATAGCTACCGGTACGCAGGCGCGTCCCCTTTAGCAATCCCAGGAACATTTGCGGGACACATTCCGGCTCCAGTTTCCTTCGCGTTTCTCTTTGTAGAAAGTGGCGAATTGCGCGCCACTTCACGGAACGCAGCTTATATCGCACCCCAAGGACGGGATAATAGGTGACAGTAAGCATAAAGTATAACAATATCAACTTTTAGATTGTAAAGCGAATGTGAGCACTACGTCACGGAAAATAAGTTAAGATATACAAATTCAGATTTTTGAAAATTTTGCACTTCTATAAGAGTGCATGCCTAATACCCTTCTCGCGCGCATATTCCCAGGTCCTCAAGGTTGTACATTTCGGTGATGTGTAGAAATTTCACTGAGACCACGTAACTCGAGATTAATTGACCGCGTAAAGTAGGGAGGCCTGGGAACGCCTCGAATGAAACCAGTGCCTAGGCTGGCTCGGAGATTTTAGTGCAATATTGGATCTGATTTTATCACTAATCTTTACAGCTCTTTGGCTTGACCACCTTCCACCAATTAGTGGGGTATAAATGCTTCATTATCTCTATACCCCCTCTTGGAACAGAAATGTTAAAGGAGCCAAATTTGACCTTGGGCAGCGGGTGCTGTAAAAGTTTGGCGGGAAAACTATGGCGGAATCTGTAGTGAATGTAAAATAGCCACGACTCATAACCAGATCGCATCATAGTGCCTCGATAGTTATAATAAAGAAATAATCCTATACTTTCGCCGTATCCTTTGACTGCTAAATATCCACTCTCTTGAAGTTTATCTATCAGTACCAAACCGACAGCCTCAAATTTCGCTTTGAATTCTTCCAGGGGTATCTTTTTAAAATCGCCATTCCCGTCCATGCCAATATCAACGTCATCATCCCATGGGAGGGGACCTGGTATGCCTCTCAGGGGACCCCACAGGGATCCGTACATCAGCCAATGGTCAACTCCCATACTGTCTAAAACCAAATGTGTCTTGTGGGCGAGTTCTATTAAGCGAACGGTATGTTGTTTGGACTTAAAGCAAGGAGTAACAGACGTCCAGAACCTGTTTCCTGTATATCTGCCCATATCCACCAAACTAAAACCAATGTAGATCAAAATAGCAACCAGCAGGGTTACCATGGTGACAGTCTTCTTGCTTACCCAGCATGACTTGCAACACTGGAGTGAAGCCACTTTTGATAACATCTAAAATGTTATTGTTGAGCAAAAAAAGAAAACATTATAAATCGATTATTTGAAAAATGAATCTTTCATTCGCTGCCGCAACCAGTATCAAATTCAAATCAAATTCAGATCTGGATGTGCAATGAGCAGTGAATTTTTCCCGATAACTTCTCTGTATTCGGTCAGATTGAAAAATGTTTGAATGGATAAAATTGCTTTGACGACATTTACATCAAGTTCAAGAAAACTGAGCAAGTAGAAATTGCATAATTAACTCGCGTGTGAAGCTTTGTTGGGGGCGGTGACTAGTTTCTGGCTTCAAAAAATAGGTTGTAGTGGTCAAAGCTATTCGGCGACAGCAAAATTGATCCTGATTTTTGACCAGGCCAAAGACTTAATAAAAAATTGTTTGAAAGACGGGGGCTCCATGTGTCCTCTTCAACCGCTGGTTCACATCCGGGATCTTGAATAAATTGACTGTTTGAGTCGAGAAAAGTTTCCATGCGACGCGTTATGTGAAGAAAGCGAGAGCTTTTCGGAGTAATTTGACGATTTCTCGCCCGTGTTAAATGTGGAAATATTATGAGTCGTTTCCGGAAGTGATCGGCAAAACTCAGGTTTACAGGGGGTTACAAAAAATAATAGAAATTTTATTTTTAATTAGAACGTTCCCAGATACTTTTTTTGGTCTATTTTGCATAAAAATCAAAGTCGAAGAAATCTCAAATTTTTGACCAAAACGATGGACTAACCCCTTAGGAAAAATGCTAATTTTCCGTTTTTCATAAACAGTTGTTCTTAGAGTCTTTAAAAGCCTCTTTTTTATCTAGAACGTCAGTAAACACTTTTTCTCGATCTATTTTTGATAAACACAAAAGATGAAAAAACTTCAACTTTTTGATCAAATGGATGAACTATTTATCCCCTTTAGAAAAATGCCAATTTTGCGTACTTTTAAATGCATTTTTATATTGTCTAGAAAGGCTTGTTTTCTAACGAGAACGTAACCAAATACTTTTTCCCGGTGTATTTTGCATAACACTAAACGTAAACAAAATTTCAAATTTTTGATCATAACCATGGACTAACCCCTTTGGAACAATGCCAGTTTTGTGGGTTTTTGAGGCCGATGTTTTCATTGTCCAGAAAGGCTTGTTTGCTATAAAAAAAACGTCGACAATCGTTTTTTTCACAATTTATTTTCACAAGCTATTACATGGGAATACAGGATGTTACAAGGGGTTACAGGGAGATACAGAGGGCTGCAAGGGGTTATAGGGGCTTACAAGGAGTTACACGGGGTTATAAGGGGTGACAGGGGGTTTCAAGGGGTTACCGGGAGTTACAAAGGATTATAGAAACTTTTTTGTAACTAGAACGTTCCCACATACTTTTTTTTGGTCAATTTTCGATAAAAATCAAAGTTAAAAAAATCTCAAATTTTTTACCAAAACGATGGACTAACCCCTTTGGAAAAATTCTAATTTTCCGATTTTCATAAACATTTGTTCTTATAGTCTTTAAAGGCTTCTTTTTTATCTAGAACGTCAGAAAACACCTTTTCTCGACCTATTTTTGATAAACAAAAAAGATGAAAAAACTTCAACTTTTTGACCAAAATCATGGACTATCCCCTTTGGAAATATGCCAATTTTGCATTCATTTAAATGCATGTTTATATTGTCTAGAAAGGCTTGTTTAGAGAAAATGCATAGGAAAATTGAGGTTTTCCGGAAAACTGATCACGGACTTCTTTGCACTCCAGATTTAGTTTAATATTTCTTTGAACTCGTTTGTTACTCTTTTCAAGGAGAAAGCATCAAATATATGAATTCAGGAAGAATTGGCTGGCTTTGAATTCCAATACAAATCTTTGAATTTCCCGCCATCTTGCCCTGATTACGCATGACGTAGCTATGAGCGTGAACTCCTCTCTTAAAGGGAACCTCCACTTCAACAAAAAGATAACTTCAAATCACAGGAAATAACTGTTACAGTCAAGTCAATCTAAAATATTTTTAAAGAAAGCGTTTGTATCCGAAAGAAATAACTTTTAGATTCGCCTATTTTTGTTTTCAAATTTTGCGGGCGTCGCCATCTTGAATAATTGTGACGTGTAATGGTTGCCCTATTGTTATTAAACAAAAGCTCTTTGTGTCAGAACAAGAGAGCAACCATAACACGTCACAATTATTCAAGATGGCGGCGCCCGCGAAATTTGAAAGTGAAAATAAGCGATTTTAAAATTCACTTTTCCTGATATAAACACTTTTTTTAAGACAAATTTCGAACAAATTTGTTTATCAACATAGTTTTATTCGATTTAAACTTATTCTGTAGTAAGAGTGGAGGTTCCCTTTAATTATTTCCCAGTCTGTGACGATAGTTGTTGACAGTTAACTTGAAAGAGACGACTGTCAAGTCCATTTCTATTGAAATTTCACTTAAAACTTTGCTAATGCAAGATCAATGTAAATATCGTACGTGTTTCAGCTGATTTTTATGGCGAATACTAAAGCGACGAAGAGGCAAAGTACAACTTGTATTTGATATACATTTAATGACACTTGCTATTTCTGGTGTTTCTTAACGACGCATAAATTAAATTTTGAATTAACGTCACAGACACGATAGGCCACTTGCGCGTCTAGTCTTCCATTTCCGCGTAATTTTTAACTTGGGTACGTGCGTAAAATTTACGTTCGCAAATAAAAGAAAGGCAAGTATGAAAGGTCGCACGCTGAACACTTTACATCTTGCCTCTATTTTAGGCCCAGTTCAGACGTCGTGCTTCTGCCGTGCCGAACTTAATTGTAATTTGGTTCGACTATAGCATGGCAGGAAAACAACTTTGATTCAGACGTCGTGCCAGAGTCGAACCAAATTCAGGATTTAGTGATGCCGCGTAACAATTCTTCTCCCAACTCCACGTGGGAACGCAATCTCGCCAAAATACATTAATATAATTTATGAGTTTTGTTCAGCGCGGCAGAAGCACTACGTTTGAATCGCTGCCGTACCAGAGTCGTGTAGCACGGCAGCGCTTGTCGAACTTAATTGCTTGCCGAACTTAATTCAAAAGTTTGATTCAGACGCCGTGCTTTTGTCGAACTTAATTCCTGAATTTAGTTCGGCACGGCAGAAGCACGGCGTCTGAACTGGGCCTTATTTACGTGATTAAAATTTACTTGCGTTTACCCGCGTAGCCAAAAACGCGTCAGTGGAAATCAAAAATGAAACCTTAATCGCAGGTGTTAATCGAGAGTTTTCAAATTACGTATGCAAATTTACTTAAAGTATTTTTAACGGCACCATTTCGAAGTCAGCGTTTCATGTTTTGCCTTGAACGGTACACTTAGTATAGAAATTTATTATATTTGCTCCTCGACTTTATGCGGGTTATATATTTTATGTTTATTACAGGACGGCCCGCAAACATTGCCATTTTGACAACCATTCTCGACTAATAAACTCCATCGCGTCTGATCACGCGATCCGACGCAAGTTATGCACCAACAAACACATATTTTAAAATTCACAAGATAGCCTTCATACAAAGATACACGGATACAATTGTCGTCCAAAAGTTCAGATGAGCAACCTATCATTGGTCCTCTTTTTTTTTTGCAGCTAAAAGTGAAACTTTCACTTGCAAAGCAAAGGGTAAGATAAGAGGCGCACGTGCACTGACTGAAGCACTGACAGGCGAGTAAATTTTTGTAGATGTGAAGAAATAAACTGTTTTCCCGAAATGCTTTCGACTGATGAATATTCAAAAACCTTTCTCTTTTTTTTCGTTACTCAAAAGTCTATACGTCTAACAGCTAGGCGAGAATTAAGTTTCGAGTACTTTTAAGCAGTACTGTAGCCTTTGATATTAAACACGCCTTGCGCGTGGGGTTCACAGTTCATCAATTATTAACGTTAACTTTACCTTTTTTGCAGACATGGTTACCGGCTGAAAGTGCTTATCTTAAAATTCCTTCAGCTTTGTCTTCTTGTACTGCTTCGACTGCAACACTACGAAGAAACCAACAAAATGTCAGCGAAAAGGAAAATATTGTGTGACCTGAAGGCGGAAATACACTGTCAGGAGTAAAGCTTTTGTAGCACGTGCCAGATGTTCATCCAATCAACACTTGCTACATCGCTTCTGAAATTTCCAATTTTTTTCCCGCCAATGTACGCTTTAGGTCTATTAAAGCTGCCAGTGGATGCACAAGCCAAGGAAATAATGTTGTTTTGTATTGTACATTGTACTGAAAGGGGTGGATAATAGTTAAGTCACGAAACGGGAAATCGATCCCAGTTTCCCATCCGAAAACTGCAACCAGATCCCGATCCGAACGGGCAATCGATCCCAGTTTCCCATCCGAAAACTGCTACCAGATCCCGATCCGAACGGGCAATCGATCCCAGTTTTAATAGTAGTTATTGATGGTCAAAGATATACCTTGTCTTGGGATAGTTAAGGACAGTTAAGGCAGAGGGATAGGATCGAGAAGATCCTATTTCATTACTAAAACTGTAGTCATTAGTCATTTCTTTTCATATGCTAATAAATACCCAGCGGCAACGTGCTTTCTTGTATGCTAACAAGTGTCTAGTCAGTTCTTTCCCATTATGAATAACTGTCTTCCGCTTTCCAATCTTTCAAGAAACAATACTTGTCAGGGGCGTAGCCAGCTTTTCGACTCCTCGGTTGTAGGCCTGGCTGACTTTCCACAGTATCCTGAAAAATGTACGCATGACAAGTATGCACTGACCCCACCAACACTTTGAGCTCTTAGCTTTTTAGCTCACCCCAACAACGCATAATTTATTACAAGCGGTAGAGTGATCAAACCAAAAATTTGTAGGCCCGGGACTACAGGTCTTTGGGCTGTCTACGCCCCTGAGTTTCTAGACTTACATGCCGTATTAGTTGCTATAAAGGCATGAGAGTAGCGTATAAGCTAACTATCTACTTTATTTAGTGTTGAGACGACTGTATTTTTATACCTTCATAATTGCTGAATTGTTGGCAGAACCAAATTGGCATTGATGATATGATGACGTCATTAATTATGATTAAACCATCCGCCATATTGGATCTGCCATTTAGAGGTAATTAAATGTATTTTAAATGTATTTGTATTTTCATTTCTTGGTCAAGATTAGCCACGGCAAAGACACATACCTGTGGGATCGATCCGGGGGAGTGGGTTCCTCTGTCAAGAGTGAATGCACACCCTGATGATGGGGGGGGGGGGGGGTTCCTCTGTCAAGAGTGAATGCACACCTTGATGATGATGATGATGATGATGATGATGATGATGATGTCGAAGACGATGACGATGATTGAAAACGTTACAGTCTAGAAGACTTTAGCAGGGATTGATCAAACAACGTGAAATAGGGTTTAGTTGCGATATTTCCACTGGCCAATAGATATCTCAGTAAACCTGATGAAGACTGGTATTGGCCAGTCAAAATATCGCAACTAAACTCTATTTCACGTTGTTTGATCAGTCCCTGCTAAAGTCTTCTTGGCTGTAACGTTTTCAATTTGATCTATTTTGACTGATCACGATCTTTTTGGATCCGACGTTGAGCAAGATTGATCGTACATGTTTTTTGCAGTGGTTCTTTTTACCTTAATTAAACATGACGATGATGATAATGATGATGATTTTAATTAAACCCGTATAAATCGAGGTAATTGTAAAAGAAAGTTTGATCGAAGGATGCTTAGGAAGCAAAAAAATCTGCAAGTTATGAAATTCTGAGAGAAGTGAACACTGCTATTTGGTCATTATAAATTCATGCATTTTTTCAAGATCTTTCGAGTGAGTCGCTAAAAAGCCTTGGTTACATTAATTAAAAGTTAAAATAAATTTGATAAAATAATGCTGAATTAAGTGTGATATCATAATCCAGTAAGTAAAAGAAGAAATAAACCTAGTCTTCTAGTCTTCTAGTGATAAGTAAACATTTTGACAAACATGGCTGTCAAAACTCGGTTGCCATGGTAACGTCAATGATGATGTACACGTCACGACGACTCGAAAATGTCCACAGATGAATTTAAAGAAAAGTCGCTTAGTTTGGAGATCATAGCTTAAACGCTTTGAAGTTTTTCAGGGAGGAGAAGGGAGGAGGTCTAAAGCTCCTCCCTGTTGGAATAGGGTTAGGGAGCACGAGCATGACAGGGATATACCGTATGGCTTTCACTCTTCCATGAACTCAAACCCCCTCTATTTTCTAGTTTTAGGATAATGGATATTTGCCGCTGGATGGGGTCGCATTTTCACGACTGGATTGATTATTATGGGCTTGAAATTTTAAAAGAGTTACCAGCCTGGGGTCGCACATTTTTTCGATTTGGGGGGCTAGAAAATTCAGTTATGTAAGGATTTAAAAATAAAGAGATTTACACCACATTAAGTCTAATAGATGTGTCATATCATCATTTCAGGATGACCAAGTTAAAAGGCTTTATAAGGTAGATGCATAAATAGAAAGTGCAGTTAAGGTGGGATGGTGAAAACTACTTTTTTCCCAAAGTAACTAAGATGGGGTCTATAATATGGCCACAGAATAGATTAAAATGGGGTATTGGTTCTGAGAGGATAGCGGCATATACCCAGAGATCGAGCGCTATGCGTTACGGGCTGTCATCTTGCATGAGTGACAAAACTACTTAGGGGTCAGGGGGCAGTTTTGGAGAAAGCTATTTTTCTCTCCCCCCTCCCCCTTGAGCTATAATCCTCGACGCCCGCCCCCTAGGTACATGCATTTGAAAATCAAGATGGCCACCATTAATTGTAAGACGCGCAATATCTCGACGATCTCAGGGATAAATAGAGTACTGTGAACAGTCTACTTATCCTTCGTATAACTCTGTTGGGTGTTACAAAATCGTAACTGTTGGGTTCCCATGTTCCTGAAGTGATGAACATTCCTCGTTTTGGTCCATGTTTACCGTCAAAACAAGGTCGATAACCCTTTGCCCTTACTTCCATTGCACACGAAAAAAGGCAGTTTTTTGCATAATAATCTAGAGCAAAGTATAAAAAATGGAAAAAAAATCGTCTGCGGTGTGCGAATCTTGTTTACATTTTTTGCCTCATTAGCTTTTGCCTTTTAAATACTCTTTTATCCTCTCTGAATATCAACAGAACATAAAAATTTCAGTTATATGATTGTGAAAATTTGAGCGCGATATATACCGAATAGCTTCAGAGAAATTACTCTTTGAAAAACTCGAAACTTTAAAAAGAATGTATGGACTCATTAACGGGGGCCAATCTACCCTATCGACCTTACTTTCTTATATAGATCACTCCATCATCGACACAAAAACATAGTTTGTTTAGAAACTACTCCTCACCTGTAAACGCAAATAACCCGAAGAAAAAATGTTGTGGAGACCCAAGATGGCCCAATTAAAACCCTAAAATTTCTCTAGTTACTCGGTATCACATATCGTTTATGGCTCCTCCCACCTAATCGATTCAACTCATCCTGAGACAATCCTTCCACTGCATGACGAGGTGTGTTTAGAGTGCGTTTTGTTTTAGTTTAGCGTCAGAAACTTGTAAGATTACACATTTCGCCTCAAGGTGGCTCCCTCATTTTAAATACAGACGCATTGAGCTACGACGAACTTATTGTTATAACTTTTTTGTTTTTCACGTGATGGCTGCCAAACTTTACAAAGAACGACACAAATCATTCGGCAATCACTGCTGATAAATATTTTTTTGGCGAAATTAGCGCTTTTAAGGACCTTACTGTTCAAAGAAAATCGTGTCTAGTAAAAATATTTGCTGATATTTTTGACTGAAAATGAAATTTCTGGTATCAGCTTTTATGATCTTTTATTGAGATGTAATAAATATGCCAGATAAATTTCAGACAAATCGTTGCAGGAGAAGTAGAAACAATTTTGCGTCAATAGTATTACATTTTGGGCAGTAACAACGGGCGCTTTCTCCAGTATAATAATAATAATAATAATCATCATCATCATAATAAGAATTATTATTATTAACTTACATAGCGCTTATATCTATATGCATATTCATTAGCGCATTCTCTGTTAAAGAGCTTATTTTGATTTTTGTAAATTAAAGTTCTCCACTTTTGAACGCAGCTCACATTTTATTGTACTGTTATTTTCGAGATGTTTCAAATAAACATAACCAAAGCGATAACAAAAAACTTCAACAAAGTGAAATTACGTCCCTAAAGAACAAAACGATAGTGATTACTTAAAGGGGCTATGTCCCACTTTTTGTTACTAGTTAAAAAGCTTAAAACCTTTTTTTGCACGAACTTACTCCAAAAATAATTGTCCGGTTTTGTTATTCAAGACTTCATTCAATCATTGAAACTGTTTCCTGTCTTTTTTTGATACGGACGGCAAGGGTGGACATAGATGAAAGCTTAAAATTGGGCCAAGATTTAAAGCTATGCTTGCAAAAGTATTAAAATGATTAAAATATAAACTTTTATGGTCTGTTTTCCCTGGTGAAATTTGTTCGATATCTTTATAACTCTTAAGGAAAATTTTGTGAATGGGTTAAAATAGCACAGAATTGACCTAAAAACAGCACTATCCTTGTGACATTGCCCCTTTAAATGTACAGTCACTTGCTTGGTTGCTAAGGAAAGACTATTGTGAAAAGAGCTCTCTCAACAAGTTGAGAAACTCTGGCTAAGGGTAGGCAAACCTATTCTTAGTGTTTTTTTTGGATTTTATGCTCATGTTTATTAAGGTCAAGATCACCGCTGTACAAGTACACGTCGCGGTCGTCGGATACTTTCTCCACTTCATTACTGTCCACTTGGACCTCGACTGCATATTGTACTTTGGCCCTCACAGTCGGCCTGTCTACAATCCCCACTCTGTCGTCGTAGTTGTTGAGGATTATCTTCTCTGTGCTATTGCTTGGGCTCATGGAAGTCAAATACACTCCTGCAAAGTAATATTTAAAGACTAGTTAAGCGGTGAAACTCATACTAAAAGAAGGAACCACTCTTCTCTAAAAATTTTAATAATTTCTGGCCATGGGACGCTTTTATAAGTGAAATTTGTGTAAATAGAAAAAATAAAACAAGTGAAGTGAAAACTCGGTCACGTGGAACAAACTGACATTTACTGCTGGCCGAACATTTGTCGCCTGACAAGAGCAGCGATCAGAAATTCCCCTGGTTGCAAGCAGCACAACTGGTAGCCTGTCCACAGACGATGTTTACTTTTTTTTTTAACAATTCGGCGATCTCTTAGGAGATAATAGAGGGTCTCTGAACAGGCTACACAACTGGTCGTAAACAGCAAGTATAATTAAGCAGTGACAGCAAAGTTGTAGATTTCTGTACCTTATTCGTGCGATTATTACCTGAAAACTTTTACCATTTCCCTCTGCAATTGTTAAAATCAATGTGCCTGAGCGCATTGTCAAAAAAACACTGCTGAAAATAATACTTTTAATAGACTAGCAGCAAAAATCGTTGGTCTCTGTCAGTTCCAGACAATTAGTCTCCATAAAATTGCCAGAGTGAGTGTAAAATAAATCCACATGCGCTTCCCGGCGGACTTTATTAAAAGGCTAACTTCACGAGTAGGCAAGATAAAACGAATGTTTTTTTTTCTTTTCGGCTTCATTTCTACCTGAAAAGCAGAAATACCTGACGATCTCGTGAGTATTGATCAGTTCTTGAAGAAGTTAACTTTTAAGGGCTCTTCATCTCCAATCAAGTGTGGACAGAGCACAGTTATTAGCTCGCTGACTAGATTGACCAAAACCTCAACGATAAAATTAACAACAAGCTTCTCCGGAGAGATCAGGTGAGTAAAATTTGTAAATCTTATGGCAACTAAAAATTGAGTTCTGAAGAGGATTTTGACACCAACAGCCGATGATTTAGGAAGAAAGTTCTCAAGACTGTTTCCCATGGTGGATATATACTTACCAAAGTTTTATACGAGAAGGCTCCGCCCCAGTCGAGGTCCAACCCGTCATTGTTTATATTCTTTCATTAGACAGAAAAGGTAACCATTTCGTGTTACTTCCATTGAAAAAGAAGTTAATGAACGAAGAAGGCTCAAAAAAAGTTCCCTTTTTGGGAGGAACCTCGGCTCTGTTAAGGCAATTCCAGGGAGTAGCTTCCCCCATCCCCCCGGGCTTTTCTTCTCTGCAATATCTGCTGAAATCGAATGTTTACACCTAGCTGGCAAACGTTTTCACAGACTTCCGAAGAACGTGATGGATTGCGCAATCAGTGCAACTAAAATACTGGCCTAGAATCTTTAATATCTTTACTTAGTGTAAACTAAGTCTACGTTTTGGGCCCGGTTCAGATGCCGGACTTTTCATGAGCCGAACCTAATTAGAAATAACGGCCAACCCAAATTAGTATATACACACTCAGTGATCTTGGTGATTTAAGCAATCTGATTGGTTCGCTATCTCGGACTATTTGTTAATTATTCACTAGACCGACTGAACTGATTCAGACGCCGATCTTAATTCCAGCCGAACTAAATTCAAAACGAGAAAAATGTTCATTTCGGTCAAACTGCTTCTCATTTCGGTCACATTGCTTGCAAAATACGTTGTTATAACTTATACTTGGGTTGGGCACATGAAAAGTTTCGTGGTCTAAGCCTTTCCAAAGAATCTCTTAAGTCGAAATTACCGGCCGAGCTATGGGGGAAGAATGGCTGAGCCGTTCCAAATTGTAATAAGCGTTACTTATTGATTCAGACGCCGAACTTTCCATGTACTCAATTCAATGTACACATGTAAGCCACATGCATTGAATAAGTATGTCTGTCACGTTAAGTTCGGCGCCTGAACTGCCTTGGTACAAGATGAGAAAGAATATAAAAGTCAACAACTAGTAACTGATTTACCAGGGCCAAATATTGCGTCGTTTTTTGTATCCGTAGATTCCTTAATCATGCCACTTTCTTCGATACCTGCTGCACCCATCTCGTTAGTGTAATGGTAAAGTGTCTTCTGGCCGGAAAATAAAATGCATAATCAATTACTATAGGATACTGAAAGTCGGGGATAGAAGCGGAATCATTTGAATCTTTATATTCATGCAATGATTCATGATTCCTAAAAGAATTTTCTTTCAGATTCATGATTCACAAAGACTTTTGATGACCTAAAAATGAATTTCTCAGAGGCTACTTTGTCCAGTTTTGCGTAGTTTTTTTGGTGTTCAAACTTCTGTTTTCATCCAGAATTATATAGATTTCTTGACCACTGTTTCTCTGTATCATCATTCGTTTTGTCCAGATACGGAGTTTTTTGTTACTGAACATTAAGCACCAGCGTCACTGGTTAAACAAGCGGACTATCAGCCCCGAATGCACGCATTATACAGGGGCCCCGGGGGCACGCAAATTGAAAATTGGACTCTCGGAAAGGCCATATCCTTCATATCCTGGATCGAACTCAATTAATTCATACGTCTATTTTGTTGCGCTTTTCTCAGAGACTCGTTATTCATGATTCCTGAGCCGAAGTACAAAGATTCATGATTCCCCAGTTTTAAAAACAAAGATTCATGATTCCTACGAGTTTTGTAACCATGATTCATGATTCATGATTCCGCATTCCGCTTCCACCCCCGATACTGAAAGTGATTTGTTTCAAATTTTGTCACAGAACTAGGCTTTTGTACATTATGCTAGCATTTTTTCGAGCATTTTAGTGAGGCAAAAGCATTGAGCATTATTCGAGCATTTTAGTGGCATTTTCCCCGGAAAATTAATTTTTCCGAGAAAATAAAATAGAAATTAACTTTTTTCAGTAGCCCATGCCCCAGGAGCTCTTGCGTTTTTAAAGAAAATGAAGACTAAAACTCAAAATTCACAAAAAACCTAATACAGCTGTTTTTTTTGGCTGTATTTATGAACTTGTACACGTTGTCGTTGTTACTTGCAACACTTGCACGTTTTTGTAAGTGTAAACTTTGAAATTAATTTAAAAAACCGTTTGTATAATGAGCATTATCCGAGCATTTTAGTGATCTTTTGGGGGGAGACCGAGCATTTTAGTGGGAAAAATGGAGCATTAAGGTGGAGCATTTTAGTGGGGAAGCAAAAGCATAATGAACAAAAGCCTACACAGAACGCAATCCAAAGCAGTTGTAAAGCAATGTTGTTTTTATTTCTTTTTAGTTTTAGCTTAGCTGAGCCAGGGCGAGGCGGATGAATCGTTAATGAAAGCCTGACTTGTTTCGTTTGGAATTAACGGGCGAACGTTTTACTTCAACGGGCGAAGCCGTGGAAAAATATTTTAGGGGGGGGGGGGGGTCTTAGCTTTAGCTTAGCTAAAATCCAAACAAGTTGAGTTTGCGGCGCTCTAAAATCACCAGTACTATTGAGTTCTATCGCAGACGCCAGTACTTAGTTGCTTTCACATTGAGACTCGTAAGTGCATATAATATCCTATCGTTAATCTTCAGTTGCTGATTCCACGTTGCACACACGTGGCATGGAGAAAGTGCTAAAGTCGATCAAAGTTTCCAGCCTTCGCGTTTATCGGTAAAGCCGGAAAAGTTATGAGTTAAAGTTCGCTATAGTTCAATACGGCACCTTAACGTTATTCCCGAATTAGCCTTATTACGAAATGGATAAAATTATAGAAAATAGTTAGTGAGGTATTACATCGTATTCAATAGACATCTTCAAATCTGGCTAAAATACAATATTAAAACACACACAATGAGTTTTCGTGGACGTCAAACAACTGTTTCCACTTTTTTTCACCCGCTTCTCTCATTGTTTCACTTAAGAGCGAAGAATTTCAAAACGATATATTCGACTGACGAAGTTGTTTTAAATTTCGCTAAAATGATGCTTGTCTTTGCTGTCAAATTTCTTATTTTGGATATCAAAATTCGTACACTTTTTAAAAGTTAAAAACATTTTTCATAATTTTCATTGCTCTCGTCAAGATACGGGAATGAAAATCTAGCTATCTTGTGTCGGCATGTACGCGCATCATGTACGTCAAGTTGTTGAAATCGAAAGCAGTTCACAATCTGAAAATCTAGCCATTTCATCTAATAGTTACGTTTACCTGTTGTGAAGACGTAGGAGAGAACCCTGGGAACGAGGTTGGTGAAGACATGGTTGCTGGCTGAAAATTCTTGTCTTATTTTCCTGCAGCTAGTTTTGTCTTCTGGTATGGCTTCGACTGCAACACGAGGAAGAAACCAGCAAAAGTGCGCCGGCGAAAACGAAATGTATTGGACGACTGAAGGCGGAAGTGCGAGACTAAATGATTTATCACGTGTCAGACTTTTATCCAATCAACCCTTGTCACGTCGCTTCGATCCTTCCAGTAGTTTCCAAATAATGGTAGTCTTCAAACTAGAGCCTAAATAAGCTAAGAAATACTTCAAGACAAGTAAATTTTAATTACTTCAAGTAAAATGAAGCCTCACACACAGCCGATTCTTTTTTACTTCACGTTATTTTCCCACGCAACAAAATTAAGATTGATTGACATGTCTCGCCTTTCTGAAAGCTCAAGAAACCGCAAAACCGCAAGTCAGCTAAGTCGGTCTTAAGGATGGTTTTCAAGTCGCCTGAAACTTTCTTGAATCGTTTCAACTTTCCGACTTTAACAATTGCAAAGCAAAGTTACTTGAGATTTTACTTAGGCCTTCCACACGAATTTTTGGTTAAGTAAAACTTAGCGGCTCTTAAGTCTTACTTAACAGCCTAGTGTAAAGACAACCATTTCTCGGAAAGCGACCTATTTATAACCATTCCAATAAACATTCAAATTAAATTGTTTTTAGAGTTCCTCGTTAGAGTCACCTAGACATGCTTTCTTATATTGCTTACGGATTTTTGTCTTTTGTCGTCAATTACTTTGAAGATAGTTTTTCATTACATGTTCTATGAAAAAGTAATGTACGGTTTTGGTCTATAAAAGCGACCGGTAGATGCTCAAGCCAAGCAAATAATTCTGTTTTGTTATGTACGTTGTAATGAACTGGGTGGATAAAAGTTAGACCACGAAACTGGCAATCGATTCCAGGTCTTCAATAATTAGTTATTGCGGGTCAAAGATAAACCTTTTCTCGGGATAGTTACCAAAACCTATCCCTCTTAAAACGTCTATCATTAGTCATTTCTTTTCATATGCTAATAAGTATCCCGGGGAAAAGTGATTTTTTGCATAATAACAAGTGTTTGGTTAGTTCTTTCCCATAATGAATAACTGTCTTCCGCTTTCCAATATTTCAAGAAACAATACTAGCTTGCCTAGACTTAATGCTGTGTTAACTGATAGAAAGGCAGGAAGGAGATGAGCAATAATCTAGCAACTTCTTTATAAGTATCTTCTTTATTTAGTCTTAAGACGACTGTTATTGGCAGAACCAAATAATTTTCATCAATTTTCCCCCAAAAGTAGCCATAAAGCGAAAAATAATTCTCAAATAGTAAGGTACCTGATGAATTAAGAAATTGGTTAACACGTTAATCGAGTGGCATTGATGTCATGATGACGTCATTTATTATAATTAAACCATCCGCCATCTTGGATCTGCGATTTAGATTTAATTATAAATGTATTCCATTTTACTTAAACCCATATAAATCCAGGTAATTGTAAAAGGAAGGAAGCAAAAATAACCTGCAAGTTATGAAATTCTAAGAGAAATGAACACTGTTGAAAATTGAACCTAGTATCTACTATTTCAGTATTTGGTTATAAAAAGCCTGGGTTACATCACAGTTACAATAAATTTGATAAAATAATGCTGAATCAAGTGTGGTATTATGACTCAATAAGTAAAAGAAGAAATAAGCCTAGTCTTCTAGTGTAATAAGTAAACATTTTGACAAACATGGCTGTCAAAGCTCGGTTGCCATGGTAACGTCAATGATGATGTACATGTTAGGACGACTTGAAAATGGCCACAGATAAATTTTAGGAAAAGTCTCTTAGTTTGGAGATAATAGCTTAAACACTTTGAAGTTATTCAGGGAGGAGAAGGGAGGAGCTCTGAATCTCCTCGCCGTCTGACTAGAGATAGGCAGCATGACAGGGATATACCGTATGGCTTCCACAAAAAACTTCCTCAAAATACTTCACCCAAACAGTGAAATAACGTCTTCACTGGAGAGTACAATTGAGATTCCTGAAGCATGGGTGCCTATGATCAGACAACACCCTGAACAGCCGATCGTTACTATCGCAGATCGCTGAAGGAATAGTTTCGTCCCTGAACAATCTTTTTAAAAAGCCTAAACTAAACCACAAGTTGCTCCAAATTTTCGTAAAAGTTGCCCGAGGTTACTGGACTTTTCTAAAATGTTGCTTAAAAGTTGGTTAAGTAAAATCAAAATGACAGCCACTTTTGCCAAGTGCCGCTGGTGAAGTACAATAATGCAATTAAAACGGCCACCTTATTTGCTTTCGTTTTTTCATTTAACACTTCTACGGTGGTTGACGTTTTTAAAAATGTACAGCAACTGTGTAATGTCACTTGTTTTCCTACCAAATCGGAGCATTTACCTATTTTACACAGAGCCAAACTGAACATTGTGAGTCTTCCCGACAATGTCAGTCTTTCTCTTGTTATTCTAGCCGTTCACTGTTACGCGTTGACCACGAAAACCCTCTCAGATCAAGATCTTTTTCTCTTTCGTTTTCATTATGGAAATGCATTCACATCCCTGCTCTATAGGGTCGTTTTCATTAGAGATAGAGAAGTCAGAGTGGCAGATTTCGTCCTCTGAACTCGGTGATTTGATAAATGCAAATGTTGCACTTATGTATCTCTTCTAGAGACAAACAAAAATTCGAAAATAAACAACTCCCTATATCTACGGTCATGCACAGTATTTTTATTTTTTTTTTCACTGAGATAAGTGATTACGAAAATTCGTCGTCTATCTGTATTTAGCAAAATCCAACTAGTGGTCTATTATCAATGCTGCGTTCTGATTGGTTGAGCTACTACTAGGCTATATGTTATAAGCCCACTAGTAGCGAAAAGCGCGGGCTTTTTGGCGGCAAAAAAGGACAATTATTCCTCTCGCCCTCATGGCCTCTCTGTCAATAGCCCATTCGGCCTTCGGCCTCAGGAGCTATTGAATCAGAGCCCATTTGGGCTCGAGAAATAATTGTTAAAGATACTTAAATGCAAAATTTGCATTTATATCTACTCCCCTATCCCACCTGTGAAAAAACTCATTGCGCCAGATTCCGAATTTTCCACTGGAACACGTTGTCATGGATTTTTTCTCATCCTTTAGTTCCCAGTTCTCGCTCATGCTTTTTGCTAATGATTGATCGGCGGGGGAGTTATGAAACTTTCCACTGGCCATCATCATTGCTCGCACGTTCTTCTTCTTGGCTTAGTGCTTGTTAACGACGTTTCAATGGGGAGCGAAGGTAAGATAGATGAATTTTCCGCTGTAGTCGTTTGATAGCGGTGTATACTCATGCATCACACCGTCGATCGACGAATAGAATTTTGTACGACTTTCATGTCAGAAACAACCATCTTCAAGTTTTGCCTTGTCATGATGTTAACCCTTAACTTTCTAGTACTTTATAGCGTAAAAAAAAATGCGTCATAGATAGACTGATGGAATAATCCTAAAGCAAAATGTTTAAGTCGAACAATTTTTTTATAACTTTAAGAATAGCTGACAATAGACCGATGTAATTTTCTACTCAGCTGTTTTTAAACACAATTTGATTCGACGTTGGTCAATTATGCAATAATGGCCCTTCTGGAAGGTTATTTAGGTATCCTGAAAAATAGGCAAGAAATAAATAATACATTTATATGCATCTTAAGACTTGTAAAAGTCTACATCCACTCCCAAGCCAGCTGAGCTATACCACCTATATAATGACTATAATTATTGTGTAATATACTCAAAACCTTACCTTATAATTGCTGAATGTAATTGTGCATATTAAACCATTATTAAAGCTTATCTGTACACAACTTCAAGAATGATCTTGTACTGTGCACTGAAGTTGTAAAATCCTGCTGGCCTCGTCCTCTTTCTTGCTACTTTTAGCCAGAAAATTTTCCTTGAATTGTTAGCTATTTGTTTTATGTCTCTAAAACCTTGTCTTACCAGTTAGATGTTTTTTATTTAGCAACCAAACGTGATCAAGAGTCTTACAAGGTCCAGTTTACTCAAAAAGAACTAAAAGAGAGACTCACACCACAGGAATATCATGTCACTCAAGAAAAGGGAACAGAAAGGTGTGTTCTTTATACTACGTTTCTCATGGGAGGATCCAGGATCAAACACATTTTAAATGCACATTTGAATGCCAGGATTCGTGATCAGTGTTTTGGAAAAAAAGAGGGGCGAGATTTGGGAATTTGATAACTATGTAATGAGGGATGATTAGGAAATTATTTGGAAGTTTTGTTTTGATTAGAATAACAGTACTGATATCTACATGTAGTACATAAATAGAGGATATTACACGGTGGCGCGAAGATATGAATTTTATTTTCGAGTGGCAAAACAATATTTTACGAACGAGCGCATTTACCACTCGAAAATAAAATTCATAACTTCAAGCCGCCATGTAATGTTCTTTGTATTATGTAGACAAAACGACATTGATAAAATAATAGAGGGAAATTACCGAAATTACATCATCGATAAACTCACGTGTGAGATTATGGAAAATAAACTATTCGGGTCCCGGATGTAGTTTTTATGAATTTTTTACGAGTGGTATATTTTCCAGTAAAACACTCGTGTCTATATAATAATAAGTGATCCATCCTACAGTTTTATAGAATTGAAAAATATTATACTTGTCATATGCATATTTTGAAAGATGTAGTGTCTTTATTTGCACCCAGCCAGTAGAGTCTTTATTTCACTTGCTTGATTTTAACGTAAGTACTCAAGAAAAGCTTTAAGTGAATTGTGCAAGATCTTTGTTAAGCATGCGCTGCATGTTTTAAGCATATTGTTTTGAACCTAGTTCTAACAGCCACGCGCTTGCTACAGCAGGCTTAGTTATGACCGTCAGCTTATCAATAAACAGATGATAGCACCCAAAAAGTCAATTTAAAAAGAGTAAACAAGATTGACTTGTCCAGACGTTTAGGCTGCAGTGACCTCAAAGGCTTGACACGATTCAGACAAAGCCTCATTTTCTTCTCACTCAAGATGACAATAGGAGGTTCTACTTGTGGCTGCTAGTTAAATACTAAAACATATTACATGAGCAAATTTTTAAAACCTACATGCAATCTGTGGATTGTTAATTTATGGGTCCACTGTTTTTCCTTTTCACAGGGCGTTTACTGGCAAACTGGTGGATAACAAAAAGAAAGGCACCTACAGATGTACTGTTTGTGGCAAAGAGCTTTTCCTTTCTGATGCAAAGTTTGACTCAGGTTCAGGGTGGCCTTCATTTTGGGAGACATCCAAGGACGGAAGTGTCAGAGAGATTTTGGATCGATCACATGGAATGACTAGAACAGAAGTGACTTGTGCTGATGTAAGTACAGCGAAACCCTAAGATCGAAATTTGAATTCTCAGTTGTTGCCCCTACTCATTTCCTATAGAAGTAATCGGGAGAAGTTGATAAAATATCAAGTCAGTGATTCTCATGACCACTCTGTTTTACAAAGCATTGAGATTAAAAGGAGAAATTTGATGCTGATCACTCTTAGGGCTTAAAGGATTAAGGCAAGTCAGTGAGATATAAGAGTAGGGGATTGGTATAGGGCAGGCGTGGTACAGTGAATCTCAATAATGAACTCCTTGATGACAAAGACCTCATTCTAACAATCAATGATCTTCTTCTCTTCAGCACTTACAATCTATAGAAGGATCTACTACTGAGGGGGGCACTCCCCATTGCCTTTGTAGCAGAGGCCCCGCCCAAAGGGGTACCTTTTTCAGGCTTGTGGTATAGATCATTGTTTTCAGTCACGTGGTCAGCAGCTTTGCAAACTGCTTGGAATAAAAGAAAGTTATAACATTTGTACACCTTAAACATGGCTGCTGTGACGTCATGTGAAAACGATCTATACAACTGTATGAAAGAGTCTAAGGATTTCACAAGTTCTAGTACATTTATATGAAAGGGCAGGGAAATCTGAAATTTAGGTATTCAAAAGGCCTTACCCGGTTAAATTAAAATATTTTAACCCATTCGCCCCTGAAGTTTTTCCGAAAAACACCTTTTGACCATGTTTTTAGGCCGTCGATCAGCAAGCAAATTAGGTTATGGAAAAATAATAAACTTACGTTGAGTTATACTTTTTTCTTTGGTTTTACCTTCTGTCACAGTGTGGAGCCCATTTAGGACATGTGTTTGATGATGGCCCTAGGCCTACTGGCCTTAGATACTGTATCAATTCAGCATCATTGAAATTTGACCCTTCCAAAGGTAAGTTATGATAATCTGTCAACTCCCTTAAAAAGTGGACACACTATTTTATAGGGACCTTACGTTAGTGTCCTCATTTGCAAGATCAAGAGTCTGTAATAGCAGGATTTTATTTCAGTCAAACGCGTGTAATTTATTTTTTTGCCTGGGATTTAGCTGCTGTCTGTACTATTGGGATGTTTATTATAGCTATCCTGAGAAAACAGCCGACATTTGGCGACACTTCCACTGGTTTCCCTCCGATGGTGCCTGAGAAATTCCATACTGATGACGCGTCACTACCCAGATCTGGGTCATGCTTCTGATTGGTTGTGCTGCGTGGGAAATTTGATTCAACCAATCAGGAGCACTACCCAGATCGGGGTAGTGACGCATCATCAGTATGGAATTTCTGTGCTCCTTCCTCTCGCCAAATGTCCGCTGTTTTCTTAGAAAGGCTATATTATAGCAAGATGTCTGCAAGACAAGAGTTCAAAGATTTTCACAAAACACAGTACAGTTTGTATTTTGTTTATGGTGGGTGGGGGTAGCTGAAAGTTAGTACATTATTAAAAGAGTTGTTTTAACATATTTAACAATCATTTCTTTCTGATCTATGAACAGGGGCTGGTGAAAAAAAGAAAAGCGAGCTGTAGAATTGAAGACGCCTGGTGGAAGTGTTCAAAATGTTGGTAATTTAAGTCTTCATGTAATATGACAATTCTGCTTATTATATTGACTAAGCTTGGAAAAGTATCCGAAATTTTGTAGGTTATCTTGAAAAGAAAGTTACTGAAATTAAACTTGGTGTACCAAATATTAAGTGTTATGTTATTTCTCTTCAGGATGGGTTCTTGCATGTTAAGGTGGCTCAAAATGCATAGTTTCTGGAATAATTTGGATCCTCTTTTCAAAATTAATGGATAAATGTTACAAAACTTAATTATTTCGATCCTACACTTATTGTTATACTATCATCTCTTGATTAAGCACCCAAGGGCATATTTTCCAGTCGTTGTTGTGGGGGCTTTATTAGACTGGTTTAGCAACAGAACAGGAATGTCAGTTGACGACAGGAACATCACTCAGCTATTGGTCAAGCCAGTTGTTTCATTTGCATGCACCGTCGTCAACTGATGTTCCTGTTCTGTTGCTAAATCAGCCTATTGGAGAGGGAGAGGGAGATGCTTATTTTAAACTGAAGAGGTAATTTACCCTTGGCAATTCATTTTAGTTCAACAGTATTACTAAAAAAAGTAAAGTATATTAAAAGCAGCTGTCCCGATATCATACTGTGAACCTTTGAGTTTAATAATCGATCTGCAGATTATCATTAAATGCTGATGTGCCCAAAGCAGTTTGTCTACAGTAACTGTTAGTTCCACTGTTCAAAAAGACAGTGGAGGGGGTGGGGGAGGAATGGAGGATTAGGGCTTCTTGCAGTGAAACAAAGTGTGCTGTCTGGTAGCCAGAACTAGTGGAGCAACTTGTCAGGCAAGCAATTCTCTCAGGTCAAATGTAATATTAAACAATCATATAATACATAAACTGTAGTACAAATGCAAGACTAGCTGAAGTGCTCTAAGAAAAATTCTAGGGAGCCCAATGCTCTGGGCCTGTGAAATCCATGGTGCCTAGCATTTGATTCTATGCAAATATAAGATTTCCTAGTTGCCCAAGAGCAAAAGTAAAGTGCCAGAGGATACTGGGTACTGCTAGAGCGCTGCCGTGAAATGTCCCAGGTATTTTACTATAATAAGTAATAATGATGATGATGAGGAGGAGGATACAGAGAAGAAATCAGCTTTAACATGATCAGTGAAATTTCAGTAATAATAGTAATAATAATAATAATAATAATAATAATAAAAGCACACTGTTTAACAATGCTTCAGAGTAAGAGTCAAATAACAGTTTATTATCATTTTTATCAATATAAGTTGGTCAAATAAATTTCTGATCTAAAGTCATTAATTTGGTCATTATCTATAAGAAGTTCTATCTTTATTCCTACCATCTTGGTACTTTTATTTGAGAAGCTGAAACAGTACTGAACTTACAGTAGATAACAGTAACAAACAACATGTAAAATGCCTTTTAGTTTTACATGCAAGTCAATGGTTAAGGTACACAACATTTTTGTTTTTAGCTGCTTTTTAGAAACTACATGGATTTCCAATAATGACTATGGTGGAAACTCTCCTAACGGACACTCTCAGTCTTAAGCAGACAGCTCTATTTGCAGCCACATTCATAAATACAAACTCTGTATTTTTACATTCCCATAAGCGGCCAGCTCCTATATTATGAATACCTTTTTCGCATCCCAAGGGTGTCCACTTACGAGAGCTTCCACTCAAGTGAAAACCACTGAAAAGAATATTGAAACTGTCAGACTGTAAAAGAAAGTGTTAAAATACATGTACTCGACATGTTTTGTCTAAATATTGCTAATAAAGGGGAAAAAAAAGTTAAGAAAGACCAGGCCTGAGAAAACAGCCAACATTTAACGACAGCACCAATGGTTTCCGTGCAAACTGACCTTTGAGAAACGTGCGCAGAAATTCCTTACTGATGACATGGCACTACCCAGGTTTCTACACTGGTTTCTCAGACACCATTTCGTAGGGAATTAAACCAGTGGTCGCATCCCAAAAAGTTGGCTGTTTTCTTAAGCCAGGGGCAACCAGGAGAATTGGTTGATGATATATGTAGTAGTGGATTCTGTGGAATTGATAAAGCAGCTAAAACCAAAGTTTCATCACTCAACATCAATAATAAGTGTATCAATGTTTTCAAAGTATAAAAGCATTGCCAAGTTACACATTTTGACCATAGTATGGCCTACAGTACTTTTATGAAAAGTAAATACAACACACATAAGTTTTGTGTACACACAGTTCTAGCAAAATTATGTTGCTAGGGAACTACATCTCCAAACAGACACAAAAAATTAAGTTTTTGATTGAAAAACAAAGAAAGCCCTCTGTAAACCTTTTAGACCAAAAATCCATGAGCAATTTCTTGTCCCTGACAATGATCTATAAGATCAAGTCTATTTCAACCAATACAAGGTTTAAAAAACATTTCCTTAAATGGTGACTGAGGATTTTCATGTTTCACATGAACAAAAACAATGAAATAATGAGCAAATGACTGGTACATGCATATATACACATCACTTACTACTTCTGCAGTACATTCTTTATGTACACATTAAGCCCTAACATCAGCATAGATACCTGGTATTATTCTTAACACAATCCTTTTTTTGATATGGATACTTGATACTTTTGATAGTTTTGTAGAGTACTGGGCAGGCATTTTTCTTAAGTACTAAAGAAGATCCAAATCCAAATGTTGATTGAATCTTTAAGAACTCTAGGAACCCCCTTTATTTCCAAAGAAAATACTTAAAGACAGTCAAATGACAACCCAAAAATATCTGGATTAAGAATCTGCATTTTTCAATCTTAAACCTCAAAGAAAAGCCCCCCTTAAGATTCAACCCAAAATATCTTAAGAATCTGCATCAATCTTAAACCTAGAGATCAAAGCCCTGCCTTGATACACACTGAGATTGGATTAAGGAGTCTTAAGTCTGTTGTCTTAAGTTGTAAGATAGCTAGCCAGTTTCTATTAAATTGCTGTGATCAGTGTTCTGTTGAATCTGCTGTTCATCAGTCATTAAACCTGCCCTGGTTAAGAATTCGCTGATCAATTTGTTTATTCTCATGACCTTTGTGTTTGGAAAGCACCAGTATAATAAGGAGAAACTAGATGCTGATCAATTTTAGGGCTTAACGGCATAAATTGGAAATCTACTGCAAGGTATATTAAACTACATCAAGATATCACCTTTAAAATGCATGCATGATGATATTAAATTCTATGTTAATTCATCACGTTAAGAAAGGATTTTTTATGTACATAGTAGTTTAAAGAAAAATTAAAGCAACCTGTAATATTATTATCAGCTTCTTAATGTATAGCTATACTTTTTGCAATGGAATGCCAACTTGACATCTCTAAGCATCATTAAATAATTTTACCAACAGATTCGTCAAGAATCTCTCATCAGATGATATGGGAAGCATCATTAACAAATGAATGTGCATTCTAATAATTTAACATCTTGTTTTTTTAGTGTAGCATTTGTTAATTGCATTAGCCTGTGGAATAAATTCCAGCACTTGCTACAAAACACTAACAGTAATGATCTATTATTATGTTACACCATGAACATGTCCAAGTGATTGTTAACGATCTACAATGTTTTGCAGTATTAACTGTAATAAGCATTAAATTGTTTTTGCACAAGCAGCAAAATTATACACATCCTTATGTATGAGCCACAAAATATCATTCTCTCATTTGAATACATAATGTACCTCCTTCTAGAATATTAGCACTTTATGTATTTCACCAGTTTGGCTTTTTGACTTGTAACCAACCTTTCTAGAACCAAGGTCACAGAACATGGAACTATATAATAGGCACATCATTGCCGATCATCATTTCTAGCGAAGTCAGTCAACATCATCATTGTTAAATAAGTCATCTGGAGGAACAATGTCAGTTGCTATAGGTACAGTATCTGTCGCTGTTCCTTCAGCTGACAACGGTGCTACTTCTGCTACACCAACCATTGTTGGTAGCTGAGGTGTCAGAGTTGCCTGTTCATGAGAGACATTAATTAGAAAAATAATAAGTAAAATTAGATTTAAATTGAATTAAGAAGATTCTTTTATTAAGGTAAGAAATTGGTTGGAAAGTTAAGGGGGCTGTTAGTCACAGAATTAACTTAAAAATCAAAAATAATAATTTTATCTTTTTTGAGACTATTAACCTTAAGCCCCATTAGGTTCTCACAAACTCCCCAGACTTATCTCCATCATGAATTACTCTGGTAATTCATGAGTCCGTGAGGGCCTAGAATGAGGAAATCGGCACTGCTACACAGATGTTACTCGCTGAGGTTAAATTACCCTTAAGCCTCCCCACCCTTCTTAAAGAAGTCATTGAAACAACATACAACCCACATTTTTCCTTGGTCTTCCTCGGCCTCGTTTCGGCAATGATGTATCAGGTGGAGGCTAAAAAAATGAAGGACAAGAAACTATTCAGTCAAACCTCATGAGTTAAGCACTCCTATCCCCTCTTGCCCCTCCCCCCCCCCCTCCCCCTCCCCCCTCCCCCCCCTCTCCCCATATGGACGGTAAAACTGTATTAAGCACCCGCCCTCTTTAATCCTCTCCCCAGTTGCACCAATTTGATTTCTTATACAGGTATCAATGTTTGGAGGGGGAGGGGTATGGGCATAAGTGCAGCATTTGAATTTTTTTTTAGCGACTTTTTGGTCAAATTCCCAACCGTAGGGACAGGAAAATAGTTCAAATGTGATAAAATATCCCTCTCTGTGAAAAACAGAACCGCAGTTTGACAAAGGAGGTGTTCAAATGCTGCACCTATGCCCATACCCCCCCCTCTGACTAAACATTGATACCTTCATTACTCTAAACAGTTTCTAGATGTAAACAAACTTCTTTGAAAACATCGGCAAATGAATAGTGCAGATTGTACAAACGCAAGGGATCAGTGAGTGTAGTATTGTAAGTGACCAATAGTAAGAATGAGTTAGTGTGACCGTTGACTGCTCTAAAAGTAATAATGCATAATATACCCTGGTAATATCTTTCATATCATGTTAAATAAGCCCCCCGCTAACCAATTATCTGATGATCACCCCACTCTCCACTCTCCCCCTCCCCCCCCAAAAAAAGCTGAAAAAGCTATTTCCACCCTTCCCCTCAGGAAGGCCTATGTGGTTCAGTTTAATCCTTGTCGGAAATTTTGTTTCCTTTTTGTGGTTTTCACATGATATTGTGATGTAGCAAGTTTGAATCATCTGGAGGATTATTAGAAAATAAAATTTGCACCAAGGATAAAACTGACCTGCAACATACACTGCAATGAGCCTGGGACCCGGCTCCACAGAAGGGGGGAAGGGGGGGAGGGGGGTGGGGACGGAAATCTATTTTTCTTACCCATTTCCTAGGTCTTCCTCTGGGTCGCTTTGGTCCAGTGGGAATTGGTTTGGGCTGGTAAATCAAGCAAAAATATTACCAGGTTAATCCTTCACTCCCAAGCCTTAAAGGTCAGTGCACACTACGTGACAAGTTGCAACAACACGTCACGGCGACAGATCACTCCCTGTGTACAGGTAGGGCGACTAGTTGCAGCAACACAGTGAGGCGACATGTCACAGCGACAAATCGCTTCATGTGTACTTGTGAAAATCTTTGTCTCCGCAACAGAATGTTATTGCTGCAACAAGTCGCCAAAAAACAAATCGGACTGAATTCTGTTGGACCGACAAAGGTTTTCCAAAAATTCTCCAGTACACACAGCGATTTGTTGCTGCAACTTGTCACCTAGTGTGTACCCACCTTAATAATGGAGATATTTTCTAATTTTTGAGTGCAAATGAAATCTTGCGTTGTGACCATTGACACTACATTTTGGGCCAAAATACAAGACAATAAGTATGAGTCAGTGTAAAACTGTTGGTCCTTTTATTAATTTAGATAAGCTGATCTAAAGTGGCTAAGCAACCGAGGACTGGGTTAAATATAATTCAACGTTTACTCACTTGTGAAAGGATATAAATTTGAAAGGAAAACAAAAGGGCACAATCTCGGAGACAAATGAAAAATAATCTAACAAAAATGTATTCTGACAGTTACTGGCAAGTTATAACTTATCACTGTGTGTCTTTGATTAGAATTGGCTATTATATACCGGACAAATGACATGGTTAAATGAATTATACATGTAGAAGAAATTAAGCCAACCATGTCAAAAGTTCACTCAGAATTGCTACATATTTAATAAAGGAGATTGAGATGGTTGAAAACTTGTTGCATAGTTCTTTGTTTTTCTTAATTTTAATTCTCCAATTTTCAACGCTTCAGTGTTAATTGTAAAGTTAGGAGCTTCCCTTTGAGTTGAGCAGAACATGATGTACTAAAAGATATCCACACCCATCCCATGTATTTTATTGTGTGATGTAACCTAATTACAAGGCTGGCATGTGGTCTTTAAAACAGTTTATTGCCCAGCGATCTGAACAGTAACAACAGATACAGCTGTTGTGTAAGATTAATTAAAGTGTCGTCCATTCTCTTCCAAGAGTGCAAAATTCAAGAAAAATTCTAAGTGTTAAAGACAAACAAAAAAACGAAAAAAACGGTACAATATGAACCTACTGCTAAGGAGGTTTCATTTTTCCGGTCCCTCTTAAAAGTTTCTCCATAGACTTTAAGTTAGAACCACCTTGTGCAGCATAATAAACAGTACCGCAGGAACGTACTCATGCTCAGTAGCTTTCCTTTAAATGGTCACACTTAAGGATTTCATCCACAGACTCAAAAGTTAGAACCGCGTTGTACAGCATAATAAACAGTACCACATGAAAATACTGTTCAATAGCTCTAGTTTGAATCAGGCCACACTAATATCTTTTTCATAAGACTAAAACGTTAGGGTAATCTGTTAATCATAAATAATTGTAAAATATACCTCCTTATGTTTACTTGTAAGTCCACGGACCCAAAGTCAATGATACAGACCCGGGGGGTACTCTGTTATATAAGGCATAAATACGTAAGTGCCACCCTAAAGGGTAGGGCTTTTGTGCTGTTTTAGTCTGAGAACGAGTATCGACTTTGCCCATTTTGGTCTGGAATTGTGTATGGTTTTTCAAGGAACTGCGGGAGTCCATGAAAGTATTTATCGTTTCAATTCCAAATCAAAAAGAAAGAAAGAGTAAGATACGAATTCGAAATGGATTTTAAGAAATCTTTTTGCTGGCATTCTAAGCTAAGTAACGCGGATGACATAATTTCTGCCTAGGTCAGGTCGAAAAAAGGGTATGGAAAATGACAATTTATGGTCTAAAATAAGGACAGGACTTGGAGAACCGGCTGATTCACCCCGACTGAGGATTCCCGGGAGTCCCCCCCCCCGGGGGGGGGGCATACAGACATAACGTGAAGGTTTTTTTTTAATAGTTTTAGAGTTTGTTTACAGAAATCCTCTTTAGCAGCGTTCTATTTCCTTCTGATTATTGTGAAATTTTTGGTGCAATTTAAAAGGGACAAAAACCTGGGGAGAACCCTCTTGGGTAACATGAAAGAATAGTGCAAAACGGTTTCATTGTTTCACTTAAAAATTTAATTCACAGATCATAATTCAAAAGCACTGTGTTTACACCTTTGCAGATTTCCATTGTAAAGAACATGATGCACATCAAGTAAAAAACTTGAAAAATAACAATGAATTGCTGAAAAGTACTCGTAACGACACGTTGGAATAAATTTACGCAAGAGAAAGAATAAAGAACAAAAAAAGAGAAAATCCGTGAAACTCAGTCAAATTCTAAAATTTCCTTAGATAATTCATTGACATGAAAGAGTTTTTGCTTCATTATTCGTTTCTTTCTTCTTTTTGTCATAATTTTTCAATGTTTGGTCTTCACAAAAATGATCCTAAAAAGAATTTTCTTTGATGTTGTTGATAAATTCCTCCCGTATTGTTTCCATGTACTTAATAAACTTTTCGGTTCACTCAACACCGCCCTAATCATGCACAAAAAAAATAGATAAAAAAGCTTTCCTAGCAGACATTACGGGTAGTTAACTCTTCCGCCAATTATGTGAAAGTCTCGAAGATTTTCGTCCCGTAAAAAGCTTTTATCGATTTTGTGAGGGACGCAGTTTTTTTGTTATTGTTCTGGAAGTAAGCTTCATTGAATACGGAAAGCACGTGGTCGTGTCATCTTTAATTGCTCAGCAACAATAGGGTTTAAAGAGATTTCTTTTATGGGGTCATCATTTTCTTTTGAATGCTTAAGATCTCTGTGGAAAAAAAAATTTCTTCAATAGGCGACAAGTTCGGTTTAAGAGTCGAAAATCCCATAAACCATTCCGTTAACTCAGAATTTTGCTGCAGGAATTGCGTAATCAACCAGTTTGAAGCTTTGATGCATTATACAGAAACCTAACAAGCCCGAACTTTTTCAGTAGTTTCGAGCTGTAAGAATGATATTGGTTGTCCCGTTATTTGAGGTCGAAATCATAAAACTGTAATTTTGAACTCAGCGTTTTGCTTTTACAAGTAAAATTCTATTTAAATTAGTTTATAAGGGCATCGCTAACAGATCGATTTGAATACATGTATATGCAAATTTGACCCTAGAGTAAAGTGGAGTTTTTAAAACGCATTTTTGGATTCTAAATCGAATCAAGAACACAGTTGTCCTCGAAGACAGCTGCAGTTCTTAAAGAATACAAAGTGATAAACTAAAAGGAAGTCTAAAAACTAAACCACCTGACCTTAGGATTATCAAACTATATCTGCAAATTTGTTTCGAAATCTGTCGCTAATAGCGTAAAGTGGGTAAACCTTCACACTCGCAGATAACATCGATAACTTTTAAAGTTTGAGCGCGCGACAGAAACCAAGAAACAAGAGCGAAGGCGGAATATTAAAGCAACAATCTTCATGGGCTTATCAGGCCATAATTGTAATTTCCAGCAAGGAAATTTCACCCAAATAGGAAGGAAAGAAAATAATCTTGAAGTGTTTCTTTGCTTTGTTTTGTTTTGGTAACGTTGTAATTCAACATGTCAAAGAGACTAGTTTCATGGTAATCTTTTGTTGCGGTTTCCTGTTCATTGAAAGTTTGCACTCCCTAACGTTAGAAATTTGACATTTTTCTTTCAAATTCCAATTGAAAGCACGAATAACACCACAGGAAAGTTCTTATTTTAAGCTTCCTTTCACAAAAATTCACTCGAAAATATATTATTATTTCGTCAACCCACACATCCCCGAACGAACTCGATCTGGAATTGTCAAAGTAGCCCAGCGAGATAGAAACGTTCTGTTGGCTATTAAAATTTCCAATCTTTTTTGTCAACATGGGCTCGCTGCGACAATTTCGTTATCATCTTCATGTCAGGGCGAAAAAATCAACCCAGACCGACGTGCTGAGAATTCGTTTTAGAGCCCCGCATTAAAAGCACGTGGCCGTAAAAATGAAATTCTATTCAGTGCACGATGTATAGTTTCACGGATAAAGGCTGCTAAGATAAAATATATATATTTCAAAGTGTGGGCAGGGCGCCCCATTTGATGTTTGACAAACATTTTATGCAAAAATCAATGTACAAAAAAGCGCGGAGTGATCGCTTCATTTTCTTCAGTTCAATGTTGCTCAATGTTTGCTCTCCACGCCACGAAGCCCACATTATAGAAAAAAATGGTTACAGAGAACGAAGATTATCAACAAGGGCGTTTTGTCACAAAATGAATTTTCATTGAACAAGCACAGGCAGGAAGATGTTGCCTTCAATTTAATTTCCGCGTAGGACTTCATCATCTTTCCGCACTTGCGTAACATATCACCTTTTACTTCTCGCCAATTTTCCTGCGATTTTCGGTGATAATTTTTTCCTTTCTCGCCCATTGGGCAACGATCCAAGATTAATTTCTTAATACCGGCCGAGTGTACTTTCTATAGTAACTGTTTTCCGATTAAAGCTCTTCCACACATTGTCCAGATGTAAAAATGAAAACCTACACAAAAACCCTACACGTGCAATTTTTTAATACGTTGTCATTCACCTTTCTTGGCGGTTTATTATTTTTTTTCCCGCGAAAACAACAGATGGACCACGTGCTGCACGCTCCTCTATGACCACGCATGCACAAACTCGACATTCACGTGATTTAGGTGTCTGCACGGAACTATGCCGAGAATTTCACGCTTCGGGAAACATACGTTCACGAAAAGTTTCCCAAACGGATTTTTAAACACCGGAAGTCTAGTAGAACATGGGAACTGATTAATGACACACTCACACGAGTTTTGGTGGTGGTTTGAGTGTCTTCAAACTTGCCGCCGCCTTTCCGTGGCGCGAGGACGCTGTATTTTATCTTGCTTAGCACGCATAACGAAGTTATTATGCATCGAAGTTGTAAACATCGATTGTACAAAAGGATTGCCTCTTGGCCTTTTCTGCATTATTAACCACACAACAAAAAGTGCGCTCACGTCAAAATTCTCGGAGCGAGGTAAAATTGGCCTTTCCCAGAAACAAGAGAAAAAACAAGGTAGCAAGTGAAGCGCCAAACGCGAATCAAGATTACATGTATGACAAGCTAATAACAACGCTTGTGCGTGATTTTTCTCGCGCCCTCATCCTCTGGTGGTCTAATAGGATCATAAAAGGGGTGCATGTATTCGACAGGTCAGCCAAAAATATCCATACCACAACTGTGCATAACATGGATTCTGTGACAATACAATACTATCAGAGCACGCCATTCTCGCGCGCGAGAAAGGGTTTTCACGCAAATTAGAACGCGCGCAGTTCGCAAAGCTCATACTCTATCGCAGCCTACCTTCGGATTTTTATTCTTTGATCCTTTGGGCCTTCCTCGTGGTCTTTTTATCACCGGGGACCCGTCATCTTGCGCCTTCTGCGGTGGGAAAAGTTAACAAACATTTGATGATCAATCGATATCAATAGAGCTAAATTTAGTGCTCGAAATTAATCACTGAAGTGCGCGCGTGCAATTCACCAAACCTGCGATTCACGAGTACTGAAATGTACCTGAAACAAACAAGTTACACACTTCTGTCAAAGCACTTTACCTCTGGGAAGTGTTTTCTCGGCCGACCTTTCTTTCCCTTCCCGGGGACTTCCGCTTGTAAGGGTTTCTCATTTTGTTCATGTTCCTCTAAAGTTTCCTGTAGTGATTCCGATGTAAAACTTGGCTGACTCGCTTCAACTGGTGCCAAGACAGATTCGTTCATTGTACGCGCGCTTGAAAAATAATTTCAGTATTGTGCGCGCGTGAGCGTTTCTGAGAGCTTTTCGCCGTGCGCCTAGAATTCTTACGACCCCGCCTTGCGATTTTGTAATCGCTTTGGAATTTTTTCCCAGTGCGAACCGCGAAGCGTGGGTGTAAAGATTCCTGTTCCTCGAACCAGCGACTCGAGAATAGCTGCATTGAATCACCCCTTTCAAGTTTACGTTGTTGTTTTCGACTACGGTACACAAATCATTGGTAAATTTACTATCGTGTGGTCATACGCTAATTGACTAATACAACTTTAGTTGCGGCCATCTGATTGGCCAGAGGGTGATCTATTGTCAGCTCGCCCCGCGCGCAGTTTGTTTCGCACAAGAGCACGGACCACCCTCGTCTTTTGAACGTGCCGCTTGATTGACAGGCGAGCTGAAAAACCGGAAATGAAGTCAAATAAGAAAAATTTGTTGGGTTGCTATAGGCCAGAGATCAAATGCACCTTACCTTCTACTGGCTTTTTTTCCCCCGCGAAATGCAGAGTTTATTTTATAGCGTTTTTCTGCGCCATTTATAACTTTGGCCTCAAAAGATTACAGGGGATTAATGCTTAATACGAACTCGTGAATGCAGCGCTATACAGCAAAATATCGGAAGAACAAACATTACTGGAACTTCCTACCTGAGTTCATTATCTAGAAACCTCAAAAATGAATTTTCTCGCATCTTCAGGACAAAGAGTCAGCCATTGTCAATAAAAGCTATCACAACAACACACTTACTTGCATTCTCGAGGAATTTTAACCTGATCCCTCAAACAAGTAATATTCTAACACAAGAAAAACAACCGTTTAAATGATAAAGCTATCGATAACATTTGACAGCGAGCTGAAAAAATGCATCATCAGCGCTTTACTGCACGAAAATCACCTAATTTTAAATGCACTGAATAGACATCTGTAAATTTGAGAATACATCGCTGGTAAAGAACAAATGGCCAATTTTCTAAAAAGTTCGCACGGCTCTTAAATTAATAGCTCTCCTGTATGTATGCAGATGTAGAAATCTGTCCCATTAACAAATCGATGTTAAGCCTGTTTTTACGCATCATTAAGTTCTTTTTGTTACAAAAGTACATGAAATCTTGTTAATTCCCTGCCAGGAACGAGCAAACTGCCATTTTATTGCATTCATAATAACGAAAAGTAAACATACTTTGGAGAAAATAATGTCGTTGACAGTCAAAAGCGGTTGGACTTCGGAAACAAAAAGCTGAGGCCTTTCCGGAATAAACACAGTGTACTTGGACTTTGTTACATTTTTACACTTTACTCAACAAACTTGTCTATGTATGTTATTTAGATCTCCCTGGGGTGTTTTGAGGGCTGTTTTTACTTAAGAGGTCATTTAAAGAGGAATTTAGTGACGTTTTGGTCCTGTTGGCAAAAATGCTTAGCGTTCTTTTAATAGCCTACAATATTAGACAAGCCTAGCATGGAAAAAACATCGGTTATTTTAAAACAATGTTGGATTCAGGCCAACAAACGGTTATTGATGAATATGCAAAAAAACTGTATTTACCAGAAGAGTATTTGATTGTAAAATCTACCATGACCCGGGGACTGTGTACACGACGAGGAAAACGAATGACCCATGCGGAGTTGACAATCTCTTGTGCCGGGTTCATGGTGGAAAAACTGAAAAAAATGGCGTAACTGGTGACATATTACAAGTGGATATAAAAAGATCAACGTATAAGGATAAATGAAAGGTATATTCTTAAAAAAAGCAGATTACAACTCGGGAATTTATCTATCAGACATTGCTTGCGTCAGTGTTTTGAGGATAGGATCTAAGGAAACTTTCCCTTCTTGCGAAATTTTCTCTAAATTCTTTGCGAGTTTGTCAGGTCCTTTATTTCACGGATTAGCTCAGATTTATCCTGATCTGACGTCAGTTTATTGCGAAAGATCCTTCCGCGTATATTTTTTAGGGTAATGAAAGTCATCGAGATGAGTGACTAAACAACTGCACTTGCGATTTCTTTGAACGGTTCGTTCGTGCAATCAAAGCTCAGTTTTGAATATGGCAACTTAAAAAAAAACTGGCCCCGAACAACGCCAAATCTAAAGAGTTTTGGTTAGCTGAGGGATTTGGCGAGTTAGAAAGAACTTAAGTTTGGAGTTGACTGGTCTTAAAGCGAGAAGACACCGCCGCGGTAACCGTTCGTTACGTTGTTGTCAAGCGAATTCTACTGGTGAAGACTGAAGATACAAGCCGTCACACCCACGAAAAGGGATTGAGTCAGTATACCCCTATTCATACACATAGTCTCTTTTAAGAGTTGAAAAGTTATAATCCATTTCAATTCTTTAACGAAAAGACGTTCTGCAGAAAATTCAGAAGAAGAAGTCGATGAAGAAATCTCGAAGTAAAAAACAGCTTAACTGTACTCTGATGATCCATAAATTAGGCTTGCAAAGGCAAGGGTCACAGTCAGTTGATAATTGTGCAAAATATTTTACACATTGGGACAGTTAGAATTACCGAATTTATACGGCATGAACACAACAGAGAAAGGTACTGCTTCATGATCATGGATAGATTTTACTGTTTGTGGTCAATCTTAGTCGGTTCAGGGATGTGCATAGAAATCATGGGATTCTTGACGATGCGAGCTGCCAAAAACCTTCAGTGAAGTCAAGGGAAAGCTTTAATACTTTATAACTCAATCTTCTGCAAGGTATAGTCATAGTTCACGGAACTGAAACGTAGATTCCTCGCTTTGAAAAAAACGTTTCGCTTTCGGGTAGAACACACACACACTTGATGTCTATGAGTCACAGGCCCTTCTATAAACGCTTAGGACTTCGTGTAAATTCTCACTCAGTCCTCATGATACGCGAAGTCGACAGAGATTGCAGTTAACGTATGCGGCAACCGGGAGCAGTAAAATTCTTCATTTTGATCACACATGTTCTTGGCAAATAAATGCCTTTGGATTTAGTCATGATGTACCAGAAACCGGGCTCTTTTTTTTTTTTTTTGCTAGCTGAGAGCTTCCGGCTTCACGCAGTCTTGCGTGCAGTGTGGTTCCTTCAAACTTTAGCACGGAAAGAAATTAGAGCAAAAAAAGCAGAGGTTCTGTATGCACACGCTCAATGTTACACACAGCTAGATTTCTTTAAAAAAGTCGGTTTAATCATGGGAATGTTGCCTGGGAAAAATGAATTTGGACTCAGTTGTAACGAACCCTGAATGCATGATTTTCTTGTTGCCAGTTAGCTCCGGTTCAACAATGTTTAAACTGCGAGCTATACGTCTGTTTATCACAAGTGTCAGTACGTATAAAGTTGCGAAAGAAACAGTTCATGAACCCCAAATTCAAAATTTCTCGTTTGCAGTTGTAAGGTAGTTGGGTGGTTGCAGTTTTAGTAGTTAGTTGTGTGCACTGATTGCGTGATCACCCCGCTGAGAAAGCTGCAGGGTTCATGATCTCGATTATGAAAAGAAATACTAACGTTTTAAGAATGCTGCTTCTCTCCGTATCGTGATTGCACACCATTCATGCACTATGCAGTGAGATTTTCGTTTTGCCATTCTAACTTTTAACAGTGTGCGTGCCCAGGACAAACTTCTGCGATGTTAACATTCAAATGAAACCTTGGTTTTACCTTTAACATAAGAGGGACTCAACTCTGCTTGTTACTTTTTTTTTCTTCATGATTTCGTCAGTTCTTATCTGTTTTGCAAGACCAAGGTTAGCTCTAGCTTTGAAGAATTGACCTTAGCATGGTCGGGAAAAGGATTTCTTAAGACAACCACACCTTCTAAAGGAAAATTCTTCATCTGAACACTAATCTTAGCTGCTGCTCAGTTGTTGTTAGCCTAGAAACCTCTCACAAAGCTTGGAGAGTTGGTAAGAAAAATAAGCCAGGAGCAATCCAAAGATCAAGAAGTCCAGTTACTGTGTTCAAAAACAATGTTTTGCCATAGTCAATTTTGAATTGTTCCGTTAAACATTTGAATGGTCAAACAATTGGATTTCGTCCATAAATTCAAACGCAATAAACACCTTGTGCGGTAGAATAAACTCTGAGGACCATAGTAAAGAAAATTTTCAGTTGGCTCTTCTGAATGATTACTCTATAGGATTTTGCACACAGACTCAAACGTTAGAACTAATTTGTACAGTTTAATAAGAAGACCCAGAGGAAAGTACTGCTCAGTAGCTTTCATTTGAATGGTCACACTTTAGAATTCCATTCCACAGACTCAAAAGTTAGAACCACCTTGTACAGCATAATAAACAGTACCACAGGAAAGTACTGCCCAGTAGCTTTAATTTGAATGGTCACACTTTAGGATTTTACAGACAGACGCAAACATTAGATGCACATCTTGTGGAGCATAACAACAGTACCACAGGAAAGAACTTATCAGTAGCTTTCATCTGAATGGTAACACTTTAGGATTTCATTCACAGACTCAAAAGTAAGATCCAGCTTGTACAGCATAATAAACAGTACCATAGGAAAGATAGAACTGCTCAGTAGCTTTCATTTAAATGGTCACACCAAAGGTTTTCACTCAGAGACTTAAAAGTTAGAACCACCTCGTACAGTCTAATAAAGAGACTCACAGTAAAGTCCTGCTCAGTAGCTTTCTTCCACACCACTTCATTTTGTCCACAGACACAAAAGTAAGAATCAACTTGTATAGCATAATAAACAGTACCACGGGAAAGAACTCCTCATGAAAGTTTTCAGTACTGCCGAGTCAAGCTTCAGAATTACAAGAAAAATAATCGAACAATTACAAAAAAGCATAGTCACAGCGAAGCTTCCCTAACTTAAACATTAGCAAAATTTCTTCCCGAGCAACAAATCACATTAATAATAAACTCCGTACCTTCATGAATTAGAACGCTCGTAAAAGAGGTTTAAATGTTTCAGCCATCACGTAACGCATCTTAAAAAGCAAATAAGGTAAGAAACACAGTTCAAATTCTACTCATCTAGTACAAGAACCTTTTCATTTTCTGTACTGACGTGCGTGTACTTCAAAATGTGGAGAATTGAAAACTAAACGCACAGGTACAAGACATTAGAAATACAACAGACAATATATAAAATAGACTATTATAAATCCTTATCGTTTATTTAGGTTTTTTTTTTACATCCCACGTTGTTAAAATCTTTGCGAAAATTATCATAAACTTTGAAATCTCCAAACGTGTTACCTTCGTAATTCACTG